ACTACTTCATTCATTCACCCATAAAACCCTTAGAAATTTGACAGATCAATAGATAAAAAAAAATGTTTCTATCAAATCATTAAAAACCCTAATTTCTTCAAATTTACATACTGTATGAACAGGCTGTGGTTTGAATCAGTGTTAACAGATAGTTTTGGTATTAGGGGAAACTTTTGGCTACTAAAAATGAAGGCAATTTTATGGCCTTCCTTCTAACCACATAAGCCTATGCAACACATTCATGCATGCAGCAACAAAGAAATGACCACATGTATTTCCATGACAATATGCAATGTTCATATACTGTACAGCTGGAAGGTCATACTGAAAACTGATTCCTTTTTCTGGCACTGCTAGCTAAATCGGCGCTTCACTTTGAGAAGCACATACAACTAGATCTTCCTATTAGTTCTACTATTTCAAAAGGTTTCTAAAAATTGACTCACTGAAACAGAAGGGCAAAACCTAAAAACAGAAGCTGCACGCTGGTCCGTGCAGATTGCCAGCACCTGCTAGGACAACATTCACTTCTTCAGACTTCGGTGCTGAACACATGGGTCCATGCAGGTTTGGCTAGCAGCTCCCAAGAAACGGAGCTGTGACAGTGCCAGATTTCGCTCTTTAAACTGCGATCTTTGCACAACAAGTACAAACCAGATTTACAGTTTCTACAAAAACATATTGCAACCCAGTGGCATCTCCACCAGTTCATCTAAATAAAGTTGTCAGAAGTTTAATGGCACAAGACACTGCGCAATGTATACCATATAAACCATTACCAAAACCAGTCACAATGTTTAAACAAAGCAGCAACACAACTAAGAGTCTATTTGCACAGTGCTTTACTCATTAAGGTCTGAATTGTGAAAGCTGCAGTGCGATGATTGTAACTTCAATGCCCTTCCTTCAGTAAATATCACGGCACTGACCAAGCCATGAATCTCAGAATGAAGTGGAGCACTAAAAAGCTGTGTTGGATTGGTACAGTTAAGCAGACACACAACTCTGCTTTTCAAAGGACATAGAAATAAATCAAAAATACAAAAAAGGTCCGATCAAACGATCCCTTATTGGGCCACAGTAATACAAAACCATGCTGAGAAGCAGAAAGCACCCTATATTTTATTTATCCATTGCTTTTATCCAAAATGATGAATGTAACTACAATGACATGATTATGAAGAGAGGGTTAGACAGTTCCTGGAGCACTTATGGGTGAAGAACTTTGCTCAAGGGTCCAACAGTGAAATCACTCTGCTGACCCTGAGATTTGAACTAGTGACCTTCGGATCATAGGCACAGCATCCGAACCCACTGAGCCACACAATGAACTGAATAACACATTTTAGTCTTGTAAAAGCAAAACAATTGTGTGTTTGATCTGTTACAGCCAGCAGATCTTCATGCATTTGGAGACGCTGTGCTGACAGTATGCCAATGTCTTACACTGGGTTATGTAGGTTAACGGGTTGAAAGGAAGCTTTGGGTGACCTATTGTGTTAGTAGCTGCCCAGTTTGGGGCAGAACCGCTCTTTCCACTGTCTGTCTCAACAGCTTCAGGCAATAAATCACATTTGAATGCTCTCATTACATGGCAGCGACCCAGTTTAAAAGTCCATCACAGATATATGAAGCAGAGGACAGACACAGGGAAAGCTCCCCCAATTGACATGTTCATTCAAAATACTATTATCGAGACAAAGCGAAGAGACTGCATGCAATCCAATACATTTACTTGGTTTACAGCATCACAGTTCTGCTTAATTTCTATAAAAGCCATTTAAAACATTGCAGAATACCTTGTTATCAGCAGCTGATTGTTAGAACCATATATGTTTAGTTTGGGAAGATAACTAAAGGACTAGAAAAGGTTGGAGATATGAATGAAATTATAACTCCAAAGAGGAAGAAGCAGGCGATAAAGTGTGAAATCTTACCAAAAGAAAGAGATAGTAAATACACTACAGATCAGTGTGTAGCACTGGTGCCTCACGCCTCGTCTCCTGCCCGTTTGCACGAGTAGCATAATAAAAACTAGTAAGAATTTTTTCTGTTCTCCAAGAAGCTGCTGATATATAGTTGGATGGCTATATGAACACAGCTTCAGTTCCCTAACCTCTCCTCTGGGGCACCTCAGCCATTCCATATATTTAGTAAATTTCACCACCAGCTCATGTAATTAATTAATCAGTTTAAAAAGCCAATGAGATATTGAATAGCTATATGAGGTCTGCTAGCGGTCGAGTCAAAAAAAAAACAAAACATGGCTGCATTGGAAAGTTGCTGCAAATTCTGGGGTGATTTTAGCAGAAGTTTTTTAACAGCTATGCTAACACACTGACAGGCATCATAGTTTTACACCAACATAAAGATCATCTAAACATCATTTTCTTTGGCTGCCTAAGACTTTTGCACAGTTCAAGAGAAACACCGTACTGAAAAATGTCTGCCGTCAATTAAACAAGGACAAAGAACAAGGTTTGAAATCAGAGACATCCCATTTAGTTCTGTTTCATTTTAAGAGCACAGTGGTGGCATGTATAAATGATCATTTAATGGGCAGCCTTTAAACAGCAACAGCAGTTTAACAGAGATACTTTAAACAGCAGTTCACCCCAGTTATACACAAAGGTGGGCCTTTTTCACAACCAGTAGTCTATTTAGTCAAATAATGGTCCGTTGCTTCGGCGGAATTCTAAGACAAACCTTTGATTCTTTACTTTTGTCTCCTAAGAAAGGAATTACCAAAAGGACAAATCTTATAATGAGCTTCAAGCTGCTAGTTATTAAATCCATGACCTCCGTCTCTGAATTCATCCATCTCCAGCATCTCACAATCGTACAAACAACACAAGTACATAAATAGCCTTTCAATGGTCAACATAAAGTGAAAAAAGCAGCATCAGGCACCAGTCAAGCTACATTCTTTCTAGGGAATTGCTTTTATTGCCGTCATGTGGCACAGTGGCAAAAAGGTGGCTTTGCTGGTAGCCATTCCAGAAACTTCCAGGAATGTTGGTTCCAATCTAGCCCCAGCTGAGTAGGTGCAGACTTTAAGTTTCACTGCACACGTTTCACACTTGTCCACTAGTTTTCTCACTCAACAGGAAAAGGTGCTGAACTGACTGTCTTAGAAAATGTGCATAGGGTGTCCCCTTAATTAAAAAGAAAATTGCATATCGAAAATTCGTAAGTACAGCAGAAAATTCTTATCAAACACAGTCAACCACAAATAAGTCTTATTTTGGTATTTGAATGAAACATTTAAGCACCTTGGTAAAGGAATAAAAAATAAATAAATAAATCAGGCATGCTCAAGGGAGTTTAACCAGCGAGTTTTGGTTACAAGCCTGTCCATAAACTTTATCTTCCCCCATTCCTCTGCTCATATGAAGTGTTAACATGCCCTTCAGACAGTCAACTGCAAGGTTAATGTGGCTCACCGTGGCATTCACCTGTCCTCACTTGTCTCATTATAGGATAAGCTAACATACATATTTATCAAGATACTTGACTCTTCAGCTGTGAAACAGAAATTTAACACCTACAGAGTCGCTATTTTATCACTTCCCAGAAACACTTCACCAATTCAACAATTTTGCGTGAAGTGGTGCAGCAGAGAAGAGAAACTACTGCTTGAGGAGAGGGGAAAAACACACACACATACAGGAGCACATTTATGTGCATAAACCCAGCCAAATATGAGGAACTTAATAATTTGTACAAGCACGTTACTAAATTAATCTATCGGGTGCATTTAAGGTGATGAATATGAAGAGACAGCACATCAAAACCTCAAAAAGCTAAAAATAATAATAATTTCATAAAATTAAAATTAAACATACATAAAATATGGCTTCCTCACAAGTATAGACCCGTACAATTACGTATTGTATTAAAAAATTCACTAGGTAGGCAGTCGTACTATTGCTGGGACAGGGCATCCTAGACAGCGGTTAAACAGGCAAAGAGTAAATTCTCCAAACAACTGTGACACTGCATTTAGCTTCTGGAAGTTTTTTTTAACTCACTAAAATATTACTACTGTGCCGAAAAAAAATGCAATACCATTAACTGCGAAGAGACATCCAGTTTAATGTGAATGCAACTTCAACTAAGAATGGGAAAATTAGAGTTTAAATGCAGCCCAGTTGAGAGCAGAGCTGGGCTGAATGTAACAGTGACCGCTGAGATATTGTAGTGTTAGGTCAGCCGCACTTAGACGATATCACTAAACCGAACACAATCATACACCTGACATGTTCAAATGATACAGAAATACCAAGGCCCTGAAGTTTATGTTGTCTACTAACTAGTTTCGAATCGTATTGTGTTTATCCTAATACAAAGGTGACAGTTAATCCCGCATTACAGTTGCTCCTAGTGCTCAGCGAAGCTCCTCTGTTTGTCGGGAGGGGGACACACTCAACACTTCCTGGAAAGAGCACCACTGTCTTTACAGGAGTGCCGGAATAATCGCTCACCGGTATGCAAGTGGGTGAGCAAAAAGTAACGATCCGCCGGACTATGTGTAAAAGTTAACTAAGCGAAGGCCGCACCCCGGGCTGGTGGCTCCGCTCGCGACAGTCTGAGCCGCAACGCTGGTGCAGCGACCATAAGCGTGTGTGAAACTTACCTCCTCATATAAATGAAGTTATTCTGTCTCATCGTCCCCCAGAAGAAGTCCCGGGGGGGCTGCCCGTTTGTCACTCAAGAGGGCGACATTTCGATCCCCCAAAAACAGCCAAACGTCGCTACCGAGAACGTTGACTATTTACACCTCTCCGATCTAATGGCAAGTTGCTGCGCCGATTGGCATCGGACCAATCGGAAAACGCGAGGGTTCGGAGAAACGACCAATCAGTGACCGGGATGACGATACAACATCAACGAATGACATCGACTTCAGTTACGGCCAATGAAAAAATAGGTTATTTTTCTTATAGCCAATCACACATCGTTGTTGTGTTCACAAAGAAAACATTTGGCTCGAGCGTTCAGAAGCGCAGCGCGAGCTGTCTGAAATTGTAGTAACTATCCGTGACAGACGAGGAAGTTACTGCTGCCAACTAACTGTAGATATTTTTTTCGCTCATAGGTTTTATAATATGTATGTATGTATGTGTGTGTGAGAGAAAACTTTTGGTAGTTGGTTATTAGTATACTTTTGCCGACTAAGTTACAAAAAAGTACTTTTTTGTTTTTAGATTTAAATTTTGTTTAGAGTTGTGAGCTGTAGTATTCACGTGACCAAATCTAAACTTATCAGCCGTAATTACCACGTAAATCTCAGTGTAATTTAATACCTCAAATGTCTTCTTGCACTTACGATATCTATGTAGTTTGTTATAATGACCGTGTTCATATAGTTTCTGTTTTAGTAAGGTCGTATTTGCTGAAATACGCCTCGATGTGCGTGAAATTGTGTGCTGCTGTTATTAATCGTATGATTAATGTGGCACTCTCTTCCGGTTCCAGTTTTTTAGCTGTCGATCTATTTTTGTTGTGGTAAGGATATCTCCGTGGCCGGAAGAAAACACTAATGGATGATTATCTGCCTCTATATAAGGTTTTGTTTAGTGTCGTTTTTGCGTAGTTTTATTCATAGTGGAGTTTGACACGAAGAATTGAATCAAGAACCGCATCTCTCTCTCGTACAGTAGTTGACAGCTATCCCTCCGCTTAATAATTCTGGCAAAACAAATCTGCGGGTTTCACTCGAAAATAACACTGCAGATGTTATTTCCATTCAGAGTGCAGTCTACTACGCCAGGCACCCACGCTGCTAGTACTTTGTGAAAATATCCCTTTAATCTCCGCTCCACAGACCAGATGCTTTGAGAAAATTCAAAGTTAAGTTTCAAATGCCCTTAGATCAGGGCTATTCATTCACGGTCCTTAATGAAGGCCGAAATCCTGCTGATTTTCCAGCCTTCCTTTACCTGTGAGCCAGGTGTGAAGCCTCTGTGCACAATCAGACTCAGTAATTCTTAAACTAACTACCAGGGAGAACCGAAAACAAGGCCTGGATTTGCAATCAAGGTCCAGATTCGAAGAGCCCTGCCTTAGACGGACGCACATGTTAAATAGGGCCGTGCAAGAACTTTTCAAGGGCCGAGGGGTGTTCCACCAAGTGCAATTTCTCAGCTAGGTTAACTTAAGCTTACTTTAGGTAAGGAGCATTTCTATTGTACTCAGGCGAGGGTTTGGGGTTTGACTCCCAGGGAGCTGTCACCATTCCCTCTACGTTGCTCTGCATAAAAACATAGGATTAATGAATAATATGCTTCTGCGCCAGTCCTGATCAACTGAGCTTCAGTGGTCAAGTGTGTGGACCTAAATAAAACACACATCCCTATTTGTCTCCTTCCAACACAGCTGATTTATGAACCCTCTCTCTGGGGACTCGTGTTTACTTTCTCCTTTAAATACCACATATGTTTTTATTTCTTCTCAAGTGTTTCCTGTTCTTTTCACACTGTTCTTTTCACACTAACATTAAATTTCTTAATGTTAACTGCAGTCCCATCGGTCCCTGGTGTCATTTCAGTTTAGCATCTGTCAGCTTGTAATCCATCCTTCCACCTCTGATTGCTTATCAAGCACAGGGTCGTGATGCCGGTCTGCAGTCTATTCCAGAGAAAGGTAGGAGACCACCCTACGCAGAATATCAGTCTACTGATTTCTGCCTAATAAATATTAATGTCAATAAATGGAATATGAAAAATATTTCTTTCAAATTGTCATATTGCCACAATAGAGCATTTCCTTAACAATTAAACTATTATATAATTATATACTTTTTTTTAAAAGTTCAAGAGGACCCTAACACTGACTAGAACAAAACAAACATTACATGGTAATCTAGTAATGCATTGCCAAAAAAGTATCTTGGTGATTATCAACCAGGCAACATTGAAATTAATAGTTAAATTAATCAAAAATTTATGGGGGAAAGCTTTTATTGTCATGCCGGATGGGAGTCAATGGATGTTAAATATCTATGTGAGAGATTGAATGTGTATTGCAAAGAGTAGAAAGAATGAATAATAACATTTAATGAGTTCACACTGAAGTGATATTATATGTGCAATATAAAAGCAATAAATTCTTACCAATGATTCTTCAATTGCTTGCACAGTAAGGCATGATTGAAAATAACGACGTAATTCTGTCGGACTATGATTTTTCTATGCACAGCACTAAAAATCCAACCAACATCATGGAATAATACGAAAAATAGAAAGTAGGTAGAGATGGATCTGTGTTTATGAGTTTCAAATCACTTTATTTTCATGTTAAACATGAGATCAGCTCCAGTGGAATGTTCTGGTCATACAGGGATCAGTTTTATACACAAGAATTGCTTTATATAGATAAACAGTCTGCAAAACCTTAAGAATTGATGCATAGTTCAGAGAATTCAAAAGTGGCATGCTGAAGTTAAAGGTAACCAAAAGAACTGGAGTTTTTCTGTCTCATTCTTTTGACTATAGAGGGAGGGTTAAAATGTGGATCAAACTATGCATTGAGGTTTCAGAAACTTCAGGGTGGACGTTACCACTTACCATTTCTTGTCTTGCAAACAATAATATGTTATAAAGAATAAAATAAGCTTTGGTAGTGAAAGAAAGAGTGAGATTGCAGATACAGGCAACGGAAATGAGTTTCCTTTGCAGGGTGTGTGGCTTCAGCCTTAGAGAGCTTGGACATTCGGGAGGAGCTCGAAGGAGAGCCGCTGCTCCTCTGCATAGAAAGGAGCCAGCTGAGCTACCAGCGGTTTGGGTATCTGACTGACATTGCAATGCATGAAATATTAATGTGGCCGGAGGCAGATATAATGTGTTTAAATTGTTCTGTGCAGATAAAATCGTTTAGTCCCTGACAGCAGCAAAAACTCCTTGCGCTCATTGAGCAGTCTTTGAATTATGATTACTTTCATTGTGCTGTTTCATACAATCTCAGTGTTACAAATTAGAAATACCCCAAATTAAAAAAGTCATCAGCATGAAGAAAGTATAATCTAAAGGTTTATTGGTGAGTCATAAAAGCCTTGAAAGAGTCTCTTTAGTCACTTCCCCCATTTTCCCTGGAGTAGAAAACTATATCATGGAGAATAATATCATGAAGTGGGAGCAGAATAATTAAACTATCCATTTTTTTAAGATATCTTGGAACCACAACATGTGGTGCCCAATGAAAGCCGGGCCTAATTCTGGGTCTTGAAAGCCCATTGGTGGAAAACTGATAATGGACAGCTTTTCGGCAGGTGGCCAACAGATAAAAATCCAGTCATGAGTATATTAAGATATTTTTCATATTGAAAATGGTCCTTTAGCTGAGAAATAAACTTAATACATCATGAATATATTATTGTTTATTAATGTAAAGTGTATAGGATGTTTTAATCTTGGTTTCTACTATATTTATATATTTACATGTTGCTGCACCACACACCATCCAAAAAAAAAACTAACCACAAAGGAACTCAAAGCCTTATTCTTTTGGTCCAAAGTCAGACACCTTATACTTTAGGAGACACGGCCAACCAGGCCTCACCTCTATGTCTTAGGGATTTTGAATATTATACATTGAACTGATTGAAGTCCAGGGAGCTGTTTTAATTTATTTGCATGAATGTGTTTCCCAAGTAAACAGAACAATGATAATAATTCATTTGAGTACCAAATTTATGTAATCATCAGACAGATAATACTTTTTTTTTTTAAATATTGTTGTTGGGTAGGACTTGGGGAGCTTTTGTTTTAACTTAATCTTTCATAGCCTACAGACAATTCGTAATGGCAGTTTTAAATATAAATCTTGAAAGCTTAATAAGATTTTCAGTTCCACTGCTTCTACAGACTCAAGACAGGCCTATACACTAGTGGGCAAAATTGTGGAAAGGCTTAGCATTTTAGGCATTACACTTTAAAAATTACTGCACGAATATTGCAGGTAATGTTTATAAACAATCAAAGAATGTTACAAACATTATATATCGGACGATGAAATGAGTAACTGGACCAACAGTTAAGTAAAGTTCTGTGCTCTAAAAATTGGAGGTGTTTTCACAATTGTGGCCACTAGTGTATAGCTGAAATTGCTAGGACTTATTCAATATACCGGCTATATAATATAGGTGAAATGGAGTCTGACTGAGTAATATTACTCTCCAAGGTTTAAATTACATCCCCGAATAATCTATGTGTATGGTTCTTAGACACCTCTGTGTCAAGTGGGTTTTGTTAAAGAATTAAGTAAATTGGTCTCTCTGAATGTCCTATAGTGTGTAATGGGGGGGGGGTGTACCCCTAATATTTAATTTGGCTTCATTTGTCCCCCTATAAATAGAACTTTGCCTTTAAATTATTATATTAAGTTCAGCCCCCCAACAATACAAAATTCTCTACTACGCCATTGGTGTGGGTCCTATGTTTGACTGACATCCTGTCCTGGTGTTACCTTGTACTGCATGAAACAAAAAAGTGCTCTATTAGCTTTTCATACAAAATAGAATCAGTACTGATTGCCCTTATAGTTTTTCTTTAGAACACCTTCATCAGGAGGACCTGAGAAATCTCAACAGATAAAATGGTGCTTTTGTGACCTGATTAGCAATAAAGTCCTGCCGTATGGTGTATTTTGAAGCATCATAGTTTAATCTGACTACACATTATGGTTGAACCCCTGTGTTTGCCTTCCGTTTTTATTAATTAGCTTTGGCTCTGATCTAATTGATGATGTACTGATAACTGCATATCTTGGCTGCTTTTTGTTTGTGTTAAACTGACACTGATACCTACTTCACAAGCCCACGTTTCTTTGTTTAAACGCAGGTGGAACTCGACCTGGTTTTGCTGCTCGGGGATGATGCTGGTTTAGTCTCGCGCTTCGGGGAGGACGGGCAGGGCAGGATGCTCCATCCCCCTGCAGCTGACTTGGAGAAAGTACCGATCGTGCGCCTTCCCTCTGCCTCTGCAAGGATTCGACACCCTCCTGCGACAGGAAAGGGACTGCCTGCATGTCAGAGAAAGGAAGAAAGTACCATAAGTGCGTGTCTTTTTCCGAGCAAGAGAATGAACGAAGGCGCAAAGAGGACAGCGGGGCAGTGGAGGCACGTTACATGAAGTCAGTGAAAACGGCACGAGAGTCTTCAGGATACTATCAGTATCATATGTAAGTATTGACCAATACTCGCAAACACTTGAAAAACACTCCAGCGTTTAATATATATATTTTTTAACTTAAACAACTTTATTAATATTAACATTGCCATAAGTAAATTTAAATTTTTGAAATATACTTTTGAATATATAATATTAGTTTAAAGGAAAAGCAATACAGATCATTATATAAACATTCTGAAAATGAAGTGTAAGTAGTGATGTGTTAACGGCTTTATCTTGTCTTTTAGCGCCACCCAGTGGTTACTTATTTATTGATTTATTTAAATAAATATAATATTATTCTGTTTTATTTAACACTAAAGACAAAAACGCTTGTTTTAAATGTTTTTTCTTAAATGTTACTTTTATCAGAACAACGGATTTTTTGTTTATTGCATTGAGGTATGAGTGGCTTCGTATAAATGTAACTTGAAGCTGAAGTGAAATAAGCAGGTTTTCTGCGCGGTGACAATGATACTCAGACGGCGAAGATACGAGATCTGTAGCTGCTTTCAACAAACGGAAAGACAATTATACTTTTATTGTCAGTATGTCACACAATACGTAGATGAATTAGTTCAAAGTAAAAAAAGATATTTACGTGAACAAGTTTAGCTAATTTAACGCAATCATATTAAATCGATACAGAAGACCGGATCTTTATTAACAGCAGTGTGAACTTTAAAATTCAAAGTAATTTTAAGACCTGCACGTATAAATTTACGAATCGCAAATTATTTCGGTGTTGCTGTGTGGGACATATCAACTGCCGAGAAAGAATATTAATTAACCAATTGGATAAGCAGCCATCACCAGAATATTATGAACATTACATTTCATGTTCATCTGATTTTGCAATCAGCATTAAAAAACGCTGCCGAAACACACATTCCTGTAACTTGCTTTTAACTTAAATAAATAAAATAAAGTAATTGTAAGACTCAGCACTCTGTTATTAACCTGCATGTAAAGTAGGTTTATATTAGCTTGCATTTGTAATAATGATATTGCCAGTATTTTGCGGGGTATAGGACTGCCTTCCTGTCCATGACTTAATGACATAAACGTTCGGTCCGCTTTTGGGATTACGCCTGAAGAAAGACTGAGAAAGACGCTGTCAGAATGGAAGAGGATGGGCTCTCACGTATGTAATAAGTGTCAAAGTGATTTATCCGCTGTTTGATTCTAAATGCTGGAGATATACCCAGTAATAGTAATCGTGTTTATGGAAAATAGCGTGCTGGATGGGCAAATTGCAGGCGTATGTGTATAATGGACATGTGGACTGCGGGAGCCGGGTGCTGTGATTTCCAGCCTGTATTTGATTTGCAGCAATGTGGCGTTTGCTTCCAGCTTCACTGTCTCTGTTCATTTGTCGGTTGGCTCCTGAAGCGTCTGTCACGTTTGTAGGCTGTGTGAAAAACCTGCGTCCTAACTGCCGCTACGTGGAATTGACTGTTTCTCTCCTTTTGTACTATCCGTTTTTTCCAGGGTGTGTGAATTACCATTGCTTAATATTGACTAAGTATTTCTCTCCTTTTGTACCTGTCATGTTTTCCTGGTGTATACAAATGAGCGCCATAACTGCCGCTGCTTATAATTGACCATTTTTCTCAATTTGTAGGCTGCCTGTCATATTTTCACGGTGTGCGCAAATGGGCGCCCTAACCGACTTTGTCTTCATGTCGTTTCATGCTAACCCTTGGGGTACAACGTCAGGCTTAACTTAACCGTTATGCGTTACAGTGAGAGAAACCCAGAGGTGGAGATTTCAGGTCCAGACCAAGATTTTGTTTCAACCAACCAGTTCAGTATAAAGGGTCACAGTCACGGAGTACTCAACTCGCTGGTTGAAACAAAATTTTGGTCTGGATTTGTACTCTATGGACCTTAAATCTCCACCTCTGGAGAAACCACACTTCCTGCTTTGGGTTACTGACAGTGCATGATTAACCCTTCGACAGTCTTGCCAACTTTAGTCAGCTAACTGGAATGAGATTTTCAATGTAAGACAAGTCTGCACACACATGCACACGCATTTACACGTGTGTAACAGTTTTATCACCTTGTAAAGAGTCTTTAGGGTTTGCAAACTACCCCAACACTTTTGATGTAGCTAATTTTAGGTTTATAATACAGATGTCTAAACGTGTTCTTGGGAGGACCAGACATTTGTTGACTATTGCTTCACGGGATTCCCTTTGATTAATTAATCCAAAACTACAACTAAATGTAGAACTTCTTCAATATTACAAATAGCTGTAAAATTTAAGATCTTCAAATGAAAAATATACAAATCATATGCATCAACCATGACTGTGAAATAATTAGATGCCCCACATCAATAGTGAAAGCAAGATAATTTATATATTTATGTGCACAAGTTATTTATATCTGTTGATTTAACCAAATCTGTCTCAAAATACACCCAGTGAGTTTGTTGACCCTGTAGTGTATTTCTTACCAGGGTTGATAATGATCATCATAACATTTTGAAAAGCAAACCCAAAATTCCATCTGTATTCCCTCCTTGACGTTTAGGGTTGTGAATATGACTGTTGCGTTTACATGTGACAGTCTGTTGAAAAGGCAAAAAAGCTGCCAACAGACTGTGAAAATGAACACTAAGGTCTGCATGATGTTGAAACGTATGACGCTGCCCTTGGAACACAAAAATGGATGATGAGAAAGCAATTATTCAAGAAGCGTCTTTCTGGCCTGACTTATCACTTAGAAGCAGTTACTGTAATGAGACCTGGTTCAGATAACTGTGTTTTATTATTCAGTAGGACAATCAGCAGCCCTGCAGCATCCACTTGGTAACAGTATATTGCATAAATCCTAGCAATCTAAGTTAGTGGCCCCAACTCTGTGATGCAGCGAATATCAAGCAATTAAAGCAGGCTGTTTCTGTATCGCCGTGTTTTTTTGGCCCACTTGGGTACTCATCCACAGCTGGCTACCTGAATCTAATGAATTTCACAAATTAACGTCTTCACTATCTTATCCTGAAACCCAGGGTTTATTTTTTCATATGACGCATTCCATTGTTTTGCATTAACTTACATGTATGTGTATTCCTTGTACTGATAACCTAGCGGACAGTCGGTGATGCCGGAAGATTGTAAAAAACGGCCTTTATTAAAGCTATAGCCTCGGCTGTTATTTCTCATGAGAATAGATAGGGGAATTTCAGTTGCTGACTTCATTCCAGTTAATGAAACACTTTTATCTTGTGATTATACTTTGAGTTGTGACAATGTGCTACTCATTAACTATGGTGAAAGTTCATTTATTGAATCTATGGCTCCAGTTTAATCTATGTCCAGTTAGATCCAGGACAGTATATGTTTTTAATTAAAGAAACTCTTCATTGCTAATTTTACCAAAGATGATGGGCGAATATATATCTGGATTATGACCAAATTAATTTATGGACCTTTGGGAGGATAAATCCCATTGTAGATGTATGTAATGTCTTAAAAAATTAGGTAATCGATGTCTTAAATCTGGAGAAATATATAGGAGACCAACAAATATGTAACTCTTGTAAGAAACTTGCCATGATAGATTAGATGTTGAAAGCAGCTATCAGTACCATTGAGTAGAAGTAAACAGTAATTTTATAGATAGCCTTGTGTGTGTAATACCTCTCTTATGTTTGATATCTCTATTGCAATTGTATCCACCTTGCTGAGTGTGTAAATCTGGGCACTTGGCACAGAAATCATCCTTCTATTGTTGCAATTTCCAGCAGGGAAGTGTCATCTGTCGCGTTTCATTAAAATGCGATTAAAGGCCACGCCGGTACATGCCATCCGCAGGGCATCCTCACTACGCATCCATCTCTCGCTGACGTGTGATGGGAAGGAAGAACTTTCTACTGTGTGGGGAGAAAAACGGAGAATGCTTTGAGTAGTTGCTGGATGTAGATGTATGAAAGCAGCATTGAAAGCAAGCTGGTTTGCTTGTCCCATTGCATCCTAAAGTGCATGGAAGGCTGCTTTTGAACACGGAGTAATAAAGGTCTGGTAATTAGGTAGAAATGGCAAAGGGCACCTATATCGAACGGCACTGGTTTTTCAGTTCATTTTGGCCACATGATTTTACAACTGTACTCCTATAGCAATGGCTAATTTCAGTCCCAGTTCTGTGGGCTCCCCTAGGATGAGCATGGACCCCCCTACGCAGCGTCGTCTCACCGTGATGCGGGAGAAAGGACGGCGGCAGGCGGTGCGAGGGCCTGCCTTCATGTTCAACAACCGAGGGTCTAGCCTCACTTCATGGGAGGAGCGCTTTCTGGAGGCGGCCGAGTACGGGAACATTCCCGTGGTGCGCAAGATGCTGGAGGAGACGCGGGCACCCAACGTGAACTGTGTGGACTACATGGGCCAGAATGCACTGCAGTTGGCGGTGGGCAATGAGCACCTGGAGGTGACGGAGCTGCTGCTGAAGTGCGACAACTTGGCTCGCATCGGTGACGCCCTCCTGTTGGCCATCAGCAAGGGCTACGTCAGGATCGTAGAGGCCATCCTCAACCACCCGTCGTTCACCGCTGGTGAGCGCCTGACGCGCAGCCCCTGCGAGCTGCAAGACGACGACTTCTACTCGTATGACGAGGACGGCACCCGTTTCTCGCCCGACATCACGCCCGTCATCCTTGCCGCCCATTGCCAGAAGTACGAGGTGGTGCACATGCTGCTGACCAAGGGGGCTCGTATCGAGCGGCCGCACGACTACTTCTGCAAGTGCGCCGAGTGCGCCGAGAAGCAGCGCAAGGACTCCTTCAGCCACTCACGCTCCCGCATCAACGCCTACCGCGGGCTGGCCAGCCCTGCCTACCTCTCCCTGTCAAGCGAGGATCCCATCCTAACTGCCCTGGAGCTCAGCAATGAGCTCGCCAAGCTGGCCAACATTGAGAAGGAATTCAAGGTAGGTTCACAGATTGAATCGATGCATTTACTGTTGTTCTCTTGATGTGGCGCGCAACCCATGATTTAGCTCATAGCGGACAGTCTACGGCGACCTCGGTATGGCATCTGCTGTGGACAGTACCATCTTGATTAGGGTGTTTGTCGACAGGCTAGGGTACCTAATCACTATTGCGTAACGTATACCCCTGTCGCCACCAGGACAAACAGAACCACAGGAGAATCAACTTAGCTGCTTCCGCCTGGTAATTACAGTTGATTACTTAATTGCGCTAACATTGATTAAGACTTCTGCGTCACACTTACTAATAATCTCATTACTGCAAGTGGACGCTGGGTTCTGCATTCACTGGCAGGTGCTCAACCCGTCGATATAAAGCACAAAGAACAATATTTCAGATTTTAGGTTGTGCTGCTTTTTAAGATCTTTTATCAGCCATATCTGGAACATTTTCTGTCATTTTTTGTTGATAAAAGACAGATTGTTCAGTAATTTGTGAATAATAATTGCCTTACTCTCTGATCAGATATTGAGAGCTAACTTCACATACAAAGCTACAGTTACTTTTCTGTGAGCTTGACTGATTGCCATGCGGGAACATCAATCCAACAGTCTCGTCGTTTAAATACTGTTAGCTTTCATTCAATTCCAGTCTCGTTTTTGGAACGTCTCTTGTACGTCCCCCCACGTTGCGAAAGTCGTGAATGGAAGGTTATTTTTGGCATGGTCAGCTTGTTTGAACAGCAGTCAACGGCCCACGCTGTGGATCTAATGATAAGATTGACCAGCGGGGGACGGTGACGTTAAATTTCACCTTCTTTTCTGTTAATGTTGAGGTCTACTCTCTTTCAGAGATTGAGGGTGCAGGACAGAGCACCCAAGGTCTACTGAGTTCTCTGACTCTAGTTTTCTGAATTAGGTACAAAGGTGAAGCTAAAGGAATAGTTTGGAGATTTGGTTTGAGAGGTAATGGAGTCTTCCAACGTAATTTGCAAGGCACATTGCCTGCATCTTGTAAATGTGTTTATCAGTCTGTAAGTACTGAGCGAGACCAACTCCCCCAGAAAATGGAGCTTAAGTGTTTGCATTCAGAAATTATTAAAGAGTTTTCAGTCAGCCAAAATACCTTGGAAACGCACTCTCTAAATTCTGAGTTTCCATACTCGTTTCACTTGTGACTTCATTTTTGCAACCATTTAGATGATGTTCAGAGTGGTGACTCAAGCGGAGAATTTTTTGTCAGTGCCTACAAATAATAGAGACACTTCACAGATCCTGATCACAGCATCGTTACCCCATCAGCACCTCCTTTGACTGTTCTGGTTACACGAGGTAGATGGGAGAGATTCTCCCAGTCCTTGGTCTTAAAGCAAAAGAATTCACAAAAATTCTAAATGTTGATCTGGTGGTTTAATTTTGCTTTGTTGCACAACACTTAAAAAGTGCTTTGAGATCAGGAACAAAGATTCAGGGCTTTTAAATGGTCGAGTATAAATAGATATCCAGATGATACCTGCAGATAATCAAAGGTTTCCTCCTCAGGCTTATTCCACCTTTTATGTTACCCTGTTATGCTTTGTGTCTTTAGCGTTTCCATTAGCAAGCTGTAACACGTTAAGTGTGTGTTTTTTCTTTAATTACCATAAGGAATTTATCCTGCAGGTGGTAATAGTGCAGATGTACTTTGTTTTTTTCTCTGTGTAACAGCTAAAGAGTAAGTCTGTAGTAAAGAGACACTGCGGCAGGACTCTTAAAGTAACAGATTCTGCATATTTCCATTATTTTACTTAGGGACTGCATTCACCCAAAGAAAGAAGTTTTACCAATTCATACATTTGGATATTTCATCATAAATTCTATAGCAGAGTCGCTTGAACTAGCAACCTTCTGGACGTAATAGCTGCAGACGTAATTCCTGTGCCTCTTGCTAATCCATTGTTAGTGACTGCAGTCCTTGCAGGTTGTGTGATTGCAAACCTTTCGTTGATTTTTAAGCCGCACAGCTTCATAAGTGCTGTTATTGAGTTTTTCTCAGGGGGTATCAGAGACTTACTGCGTCATATTTTACCCATTCTTGGATGTGTACAAATTATAATATGAGATTTAGATGAAGATTTAATGTATTTAAATGGACCATTATATAATTCCTAACATATCCCCAGTAATTTTGTGAATTATTATTTTTTAATATTTATCATATTGTTAACATTCTATGACCCATTATAAGAGGAAGCAACTAAGCACTGGGTAGGGTACAAAGATCATTTTTTGAGGCTTTAACTGGTATGCCATCTTCCATGCCACACCTATTCCATACATCACTGTAACTGCTTAATCCCAACTGGGGTCGCAGGGGGGGACCGGAGCCTATCCTGGGGACAAGGGGCGCGGGTGGGAATCAACCCTGGGTGGGCACCAAAATGGTGCAGGGTGCACATGCTCACACTGCCAACTTAGAATTGCCAATTAACCTACCATGCATGCTTTTGGACTATGGGAAGAAATTGGAGCCCCCAATGGAAAACCACGTGAAGACGGGGAAAGCATGTGAGCTCCACACAGGAAGGTCTTACGCCTGAGCTGGGGACTGAACCGAGAACTTTCTTGCTGTGAGGCAGCAACGCTAACCACTGCACGGCCCCCATGCCACCCCTCCCCTGTTGGGCTTATTTGTGTCTGTAATTTTGTCCCAAGAAAGACCTTTACGATTCATTGCACATACTGTTCCACTGGTGCAGCATTCAGAAGTTCATTCTGAATTTAGAAAACACATTTAGAAAAGCTGGGCACTAGTGCAATAACAAGCTAGAGAGAGCAATCTGACTCAAATTTCAGTGAGGGATCATTGGTTCGACAACAGATTCCTCTCTTTCAAGAAATGAACAAAAAGCCCCCCAGTGGAACTTGATGTGAGATTTTCCCCCAACTGTTCTTGCTGCAGCTGTCAGGAAGAGGCTGTACAGTATTGGTTACATTGATCAATCAATGCAATTAATCCGAAATAGGATTAGTAGGGAACAGGGAGAAAAATAGAGAAGCTACTTGCGTCGATGCTTGCATTCTGCTTCTGAATAAACATCACCCAGTTTCTGAAACTGCTTAACACCATTATTTGGCAAATATGCTGTTTTCACTTTTATAGATACAGTTACAGGTGTTCGGTATGTATGTTAAATACAGATCTGACTGTTGTTGACAGTTAAAAAAAATGGAAACACTGGAAAGAAAATATTAAAGGGACCAAAATGTTGGGAGAAAATAATTAACTGCCTAATATTATTTGTATTTCTAAAGGGCTGTAAATATTCGGTAAATGTTTAAATTGTTTTCCGGGGTTACAGATTTAATTTAAGATCTTTAGAGGCTCTGTATATGTTGAAAACCACCCCTAAACTGTCAATTAACACAATAAACTAAACAATTCAGAAGCAGCGTAAAAGGGACTTTGCTGGTGGTTGTTCACAAATGCAAAGGCATCCAGATCGCCGGTTTTACAGGCCCTAACAAGCCCTTCTGCACCCTCTGCACAGAATGACTACCACAAGCTGTCCATGCAGTGCAAGGACTTCGTGGTGGGGGTGCTGGACCTGTGCCGGGACACGGAGGAAGTGGAGGCCATCCTGAACGGGGACGTGAGCGCGGAGCTAGAAGAGGGGCAGACGCACCGGGCCCTGCTGAGCCGTGTCAAGCTGGCCATAAAGTATGAGGTGAAGAAGGTAATAGCTACAGGTGGTCCTGTTCATTGAGGTCCCCCATGGTAATTTTTTTACACACATGGGCTTCCTCAAGTCACTTTTGCCAAGCGATCGAGTTTGCCAGCCCAAAGGGGCAATGCTAGAGATTTTAGACCCCATCACATTGGCCCCCCAACCCAGATCAATAGAGTTATGTTCCAAAATTTTTCAACACCCCCCATCCCCCAACTAACAGGGAACGTTTCTTGAACTTTAGCCAATGTTATGTGAAAGTCTTCTTGAAATTGGTAGAGAGCATCCATGCTGTAACATAAATGGAAAGTTACACCCACATTTTACATCCCTGCAATTAATGGTGAAAAATATTGCTTTTTAATAATATTGTTTCATATTGTTTGAGGCTGTTCAGCCTCAAACCCATGACCGCTGAGGTGTAAAGCGACAATGGTACCCAGTGCCCTTCCGCTGTGTTTGTTTCTATTAGCCTTAGTTGCATTAGTGGATGTAGTACTGGGATAACATTCTGCGAACATCAGGAAAACAGCAGACTTTGAACATTTCTATATCTTAATCGTAACTTATGGTAAACTACCTCAGAAAAATTGTTAGCGGGGCCTTTACAACACTCCTGCCAGGCCACACCCCCCTCTAGACAATTTAAGATAAAGCACCAATCACAAATTTTACTGTCATATTGCATTGTGGGTATTTTAATCTCTGGTCCCTCTGGGCCAGACTCAATAATGCAATGCACTGTGAGGTGCTGAAAGCTGCAGAAATAGCTGCAGGGGAGGATGTCTCAGAAATATAGTCCTCTGACAGAGGGTGGCCCTTTAAGGCGGTCGCCGAGCCAGTTACAAATGTGCCTGTTCATCATAAGCCTCTGGGCATGGAGATATTAAGGCTGGAAGCTGGTTTGCATACAGGAAGAACTTGAGACCACGATATATCTCAATTAAACTGACCTGCTTGCTTAACGTGTGCGGGCTTGCCAAATGTGTAGGCGACCTCTTAGGCATTAAGGCACAACGACAGAGATGCTAACCAAGAACAGCAGTGGCAGTCAATCTCTCAGACGGCGTGGCTGACCGCACGCTCTCCCCAGTGAGAGTGTCAGGCTTTAATCTCCATATTTGGCAGCAGAATCACAGGGTACGCTTCAAACGGCGGAGCTCACGCTGATATCCTTTGGACTAGCAAATGAGAGTCACCTTTCAGAAGCACTGTGGCCGTCCGACTGTTTACCAAATGCTGGCTTTTCCGCTGCACGTCATGCTCTGTTAAAATGCTGTGCAGGAAGGCCCAGTTAATTAGTCGATGTTTAAGTATAGCTATACTTACTGATCTGCATTTATGAAAGAAGATCGCCTCTATTAGGGAGAATGGACTTCTTTAATTATTAACCCCTTGGATAATTATACTCAGAGATGCAGAAATGCACATTCACCTATAAAAGTGATATGTGCAGCAATCAATTGTTGTAACGGTGCAAATCTGTACGTATTTTATGTGCATTTGCATCGATATGACAAGAAATTTTAACCTTTATATCGTAATTTCTACTGCATTTGCGGTATAAAGGTTAAAATGCATGGTCATTTATTCTCATAGCAGCACACATGCACATAAAATACGTTTGCGCTGTTACAACAATTGATTGCTGCATGTATCACTTTTAAAGGTGAATGCGGTCATGCGTACCAGTTATTTGCATCCCTGATTATACCCTTAACTCAGTTCCAGGTTTGAAATCTTATTATCATGTTACTAAACCTGATTGGCAGACCTGACTCTGAATTTGATTAGTGGTTTTGATTGAGAAACACTTTGTCTGACTCACCATGTCTATGAAAGCACCTTAAGACACTGAGTCATTGTTCATGGTTCTTTGGGATGAATTAGACTAGGAGTGTCAGACTCCAGTCCTGGGGGGCCGGAGTCCAGCACATTTTTGGGTTTCCACTCATTTAACAAACCTGATTCAACTCCTATCACACAGCTCTTGCACTGAATCATTTGTGGTGGAACAGGGAAAGAACTAAGCTACACGGGGCTCCGTCCCCACAGGATTGGAGTTTGACACCCCTGAATTAAAGGATTTGGTTTCCTGTGATGGTTCTGTGCTGAAGGCACATCGCTGACCGACTGCACGGTGCCCTTAGGCCTTTTCACACAGTCGCATGTCACCCCTCCTTGCATGGTGGCCTTCATGAAATGCACTCAGGTGATGGATCACTGTTGTCCCCCCCCCCCAACAGTTTGTGGCCCACCCCAACTGCCAGCAGCAGCTGCTGTCCATTTGGTACGAGAACCTGGCCGGCTTGCGGGAGCAGGCCATTGCCATCAAGTGCCTGGTGGTCCTGGTCGTGGCCCTAGGGCTGCCTCTACTTGCCGTCGGCTATTGGTTTGCGCCATGCAGCAGGGTAAGACGCCCCCACCCCCGTTCGCTCCTCTCAAAATGCCACCTGGTCATTGGTTACACAATTTCAGACATCCCACCTTTCCCAGAAGTGCCGGGAAATTGACAGCAGCTCCCCGACTCCCATGAATGATGTCCTGGAAATCTACCATTCCTCTATTCAGCGGTGTTAAATACGATACGATACGTTACGATACGATACGAAACAATATGACACGATACAACTTCATTGTCATTCATGGACTGAAATTCTTATTGCATCCCTGGGTGGCTCATTTAAGACAAAGACATAACCATATATGTAGCAAAATTTCAAGAAGCTTTCAAGAAGTTTTATCGCTGCAGCCCCCGCCTCACCTAGATGTTGCACCATGATATACGGTATTTTGACGGCATTTTAAAAAGCAGCGATATTTCGATATTTCCCGATAAAATTTGCTGCCGGGGAATTACCGTAATACCTCTAAAGTCCAACAAGCACGCCCTGCTCCCGGTTGGCCCTCATCCGCCTCCATGAAATCGTCTTGCCTAAGGTGGGATGTCTGCAGTTTGACCACCACCTACCCACTATCAGGAACTGTAACGGCTACACAGAGCACTAAGGAGCTCCTCTCTCCCCGATCCCTGACCTCCATGTTCGTATTCCTCACCGCCTAGCTGGGCAGCATCCTCCGCAGCCCTTTCATGAAATTCGTGGCCCATGCTGCCTCCTTCATCATCTTCCTGTGCCTGCTGGTGTTCAACGCCTCCGACCGCTTCGAGGGCATCAGCACGCTGCCCAACATCACCGTCACCGACTACCCCAAGCAGATCTTCAGGGTGAAGACCACCCGCTTCAGCTGGACCGAGATGCTCATCATAGTGTGGGTCGCAGGTATCATACCTCTATCGTGTGTCATGTGCCATGTGACCTTGTGGCGCAATGGCAGCGTGTCTGATCAGAAGGTTGCGTGTTCAAATCACGTCGGAGTCAGTTGTAACTTTTCTCAAGAACTTCCGCCTGGGGTCAAGGCAATATTAATAATAAAACTTTATAGTTTCATAAAACATTTCTCACTGCTTCCCTTATATCATGAAGCATTGGAGGACCATCAATATAGCGCTCTAAGGCAAATGAAAAACAGAAACGTCATAAATTTGTATGAATCTGTCACACAACTTTAATCATTCTCCGACTGTTTTAATATTTGGAACCATTCCCATTTTATAAAGGGCAATTAATATTCTGAGATTATTCTAAATTCTAATTTCTAATTCTAATTCTAATTTACAATGTTTGTCATTTTGAAAACTCAAAGGCCTTGTCTCTGCCCAGTTGAATGCTTGAAGTTATATAATTTGAAATAAGCAGCGGTTCTTGTTTTGTGTTTGCTCCTTTGTGCTGATATCAACTGGAAGCCGCTGTGATCCTGGGAACTGTAGATATCTTATCACAAAAGCAGTAATTATTTCTGATTTCACAGCAGTTTGCTTACTTTGAGTAGGTTAGCTTTTCTTCATGACTGCTGTGTGGGTTCTGTTTGTACCCACCATTTATATATATTCATTGTCATGCTACTGCTTTGTGAATACATGCTGATTCAAGTTTGGATGGTATCAAAGTAGGGCTTTGTGAGTTTTGATTTTAAATCAGAATTTCGACCTGCAGGGGGGGGCAAACCTGATCCACGGATGGCCGTTGTGGGTGCAGGTTTTTGGGAAGACCTCCCATTCCCTCCATGGAGCAGGTTTCACACCCCTGATATACTGTATCATAAGAATCACTCATTGCTATGACGACAGGAGTTGAGAGAAAACTAGGTACAGCAAGATTGAAATGAACTGGAAAGTATTTGTATTAATAACACAGTTCGTTAAAGTATGTATGGTTTTAGCCTTAAACTCAGTATTCTCAATAGGATACTTTCCATTATTGACCTGCTGTTTTATTCAAACACAGGAGATTATTGTAATACAACGGCTTTTAAAATGATTAATGTAAATGTGGAAACAGGAAGTTATCTTGGAGCAGGTCGTGTGGCTGGCTTGATTCCACCCACTCGTTGTTTGTACATTAGGAAGCATGTTGTTGCTCATTTTGTCTCAATAAGCGTCAGTGTTAAATTGACATTGTGATCTGCAGTATCGCTGGCATCGGGCGACGGGTCATTAAGGAGAATTTTTTCACGGACCCTGCAGCAGAAACACAATCACAGCTTGATCGGATGCAAAAGGCTGGCCCATAAATTTCGGGGTTCCTTGGCAACTTGGGAAACTTCACATTTGGCAAATTTGATTTCAAAAGCTAATTTTATACAATAACATAAAAAACTAATTTTAAAAAAACATAAAAACTTAAAAAAAAACCCCAGTAATATGGAAACAAACATGCTCCTGCAGGCCAAGCATGTTTTAAAGGTGTCGTGACCATTTAAAGATACATTTCAGAGTAATGTGAACATGAAGTGTCATTATGACACAACTTCATTGACAGTTTGATCCATAGAAATCTCATACATTTTAATTAATTTTAAGGGTTCAACACCTGGCCCTCCTCGAGACTATAGAAGGACCTTTTCAGATTACAGTATCTGCCCTTAACGTTTGTGTGTTACAAAGAACAGATTAGGTGATTTAACCGGGGGTGCAGTGGGTTGCAATTGCACCCCCTACTGGTCAGATGAAAATGCTCTTTGATCATACAGTATCAAGTTCAATACAATTATATTGTAAATTTGTATTTGAAAATGTAGCTAATGTGTAATAATAATGTATTGTAAATGTATATACCACTTTTTTCCAAATTTATGGTTGGTTGTCTCATCTTATACACCCTGAGAAAAAAGTCTAGAGTCAACTATGGAGGCTTATTCTGCCTACAAGGGTCCAAAAGTTCATTCAGGTTCACTCACCATTACAAAGAGCTCTCAGGTCTCAGGCTGCTGGCTTCATGTTCATTCCCATTGATCTATTCTGTGGAAATGAAAAACTAATTTATTCATGAGTACAGCAATATATGCTGGTGATTGATATAGCCCCTCTGCTCCAGTCATTTTCTTTTATTTGACAAATTAACAGCTGTTTTATGTTGCTGCGAAGATTACAGACCTGGTTATTCCTACCACTGCAGTGACAGACATTTAATTAGCTAATTTAGGGTATAGGGTTAGTGTAGCATAGATTTTAATCAGTCATTGTAAGTCAGCAACAGGTAACTATCAGCGGGGACTGCCATTTAAATGGTTCACAGAGTTTTTGAACTTTATTTCCAACAAAAAAAAAAAAAAAAAAAAAAAAAAACAGAAAAAAAAGAGGCTGCAGGGAATCTCAGCAGTGCAGCTCTAGGGTGACGTGGCAGATTCAGGCACGTGTCGACGTGATGTGTGGCGTCCCTGTGGGAGAAAGACCAACCATCGTAGGTGTTTATTAGCAGGACCAGTGGATCTAGTCAGAGAAGCTGCCAGTGCACTTCATCACACTCCAGCGACAAGGTCATTTCTTCCGGAAAGACAGTTTTGACAGTCCTGGTGATGTAATTACCACCTCGGCTCTTTGTAAACGTGTAATCCCTTTGAATTATCAGTGTTCATTTCTATCCCTTTTAGGGTTAGCCTTTTTAAGGGTAACATTATACGTCAAGTCATGTGAGCGTTACAGTCTTACCATCTATACACTGTGGCACGAAATATTATTTCCTCGGGACCATGGTGTGACATACAAACAGGAAATGACAAGGGGAGGGTTTTCACAGAATTTAAAATGCAAAAACACAAGGCAGTGCTAAACAGGCTGGTTGGTTTATATGCAGTGCAATGTGTATGTAAACAATAGATATAGCAGCAAAAATAAAAAATAATAAGTGAATATGACCAGTGCCAGTGGGAGGGGGGGGGTGTCAGTATTTCTCAGGAGTAGGTCGGGGGTAAGATGGGAAGCAGGATATTTAGTGTCCTGACATCTTCGGGGAGAAGCTATTGCTGAGCCTTGCAATAATCACTGGTGTCATGCTGAGTGTAAATCCACTTTACATGACAGCAAAATCAAACACTGATCATCACTCGAGGCTTTTAAGAGCAGTGCATTGAGTGGTGGGGGGGTGGGGGCCGCAGACTGCACTCCTCAAGCTGCCTTTCCCTCGGTCGCTTCAGAATCACAACACGCTGTGAGGTTCCGGCTCTGCCCCGCTGGTCCCATGACCTTTACTAACCCTATCGCAACATGGCCCAAAATAGACATGGGCTCTGAATTCATTAACTTTTTAAAATTTGGGTGTTAAATTTACACAGAGGTGTTAGCAACAGTTAAAAAGCATTTAAAATATTTTTAAATAGTCAAGATTTTAACATTTTGTTACGATAGTAATAGTCTAATAGCACCTTTTCTTAATTAAATGGATGTTTCTTTACTAAAAGCAGTAAAGGTGCTTGTCAGTGCTCTTGATTACAAGGTTGCATAATTTATTTTAATAATTACAGGCAGGGGTGCCCCCCCCCCCAACACAGACCAATCCAATCCAATTATCTTCCAGATTTAAAAGGGCCCCTGTGACTCAGTGGCCCTTGGAATCCTCCTAATCACCCCCCCCCCCCCCCCATTTACAGCACCCCTGATTACAATTAATGGACAGATTTCGCCTGGCATGCGTTCATGTTTTGTCCATGTATACAACTGGATATTTACTAAAGTAACATATGCTAAGTAACTTCCTTTGATGTACAAAAGCAGGGCTTCTCTGCTGACACCAAATGCAGGTTCCTCTGTCTGACTGCCAATCTGCCTGTTGCTTCTGCTTCACTGCTGACACTGGTTCTGCTTCACTGCTGACATCAGCCTCAGGTCCCTCCATCTGACCCCCATTCTGCCTGCTGCTATTGCTTCACTCCTGACACTGCTTCTGCTTCACTGCTGACATCAGCTGCAGTTCCTTTCTCTCTGACCCCCATTCTGCCAGCTGCTTCTGCTTCACTGTTAACACCAGCTGCAGGTCCCTCTCTCTGACCGCTGATCTGCCTGCTGCTTTTGCAGGAATGATGTGGTCAGAGTGCAAGGAGCTGTGGAGCGAGGGGCCCAGGGAGTACATCCTGCAGCTGTGGAACGTTCTGGACTTCGGCATGCTCTCCATCTTCATCGCCGCCTTCACTGCACGGCTCTTCGCCTTCTTGCAGGCCAGCAGGGCCCAGCGTTACGTGAACGAGAAGGTTCACGCTGATGATCTCTCCCTAGTCACTCTGCCACCAGATGTTGAGTACTTCACTTATGGTAACGTGTTTGCCACTGGCTTCAGCTCTGTAAACAACACTGAACATGATCTAAAAACAACTTAAATCTAGTCATGGAGTCCAGCCATTGCTGGATCATTGCACAATAACTATAAAATAACTCTTAACTTTAAGAAAAAGTCTTACATTAAAAGCAATAAAATGTGTACTGTTTTCAGTTAAAAACACAGGACCTCAAACCCTAAGTTCCCTTTGTACCCTGTAAAACAGGGCTTCCTAACTCCCAGTGCTGAGGGCTTTTTGGGGGACTTGGTTAAGTTCCAAAAATATACTATGTATTTTCAATTATTTATGACTCCTCGTATTTGTGTGTTCTGTTCACATCTGAAAAAGACTATTTATGGTAGTTTCTACTTGCATACCCACAATGCACTGCTGTCGTTTGCACAGTTAGCATACCTCAGGCATATGTCACCTCTTTTCTGCAGCAAGGGACAAGTGGCTGCCCTCAGACCCCCAGCTGATCTCGGAGGGGCTATATGCCATCGCCGTAGTGCTCAGCTTCTCCCGCATCGCCTACATTCTGCCCGCCAACGAGAGCTTCGGCCCGCTACAGATCTCCCTGGGCCGCACCGTCAAGGACATCTTCAAGTTCATGGTCCTCTTCATCATGGTCTTCCTGGCCTTCATGTTCGGCATGTTCATCCTTTATTCCTACTACCTGGGGGCCAAGGTCAACTCTGCCTTTACCACGTGAGTGTGTGCAGACACCCTTCTAATTGTATGCTTCAACTTGATAGGGTCTGTAAAATGTAGAATGAAAATTAAAATCTGGTGCCTTGTGCCACAAGAATCCAATGACACCCCAACCTGCAGGTTCCTATATCTTCCTGAGACCCAAGGAAAAAAGTGTCCTTCAATTTTAGGTTATTTGTCTTTGGATAAAATAAGACATCTTACAATTTCGATTTTTTTCAAATTTATTTTTATTTTTAATTTCACAGCATGTCCTCTTTAGTGTACAACAGGAATAAATATGTTTCCTTACATCAGTGAAAAGATAGATGCAAAAACAACAAGTCCACTACAATGGACATAAATGAATGGGTGGGGTCTCAGGCGGCTATGTAAAGAAAGTTTATAGAGTCAATCACAATTGGTTGGAGACAATGAATTCTGCATGATTTCCACATGCACTAGTACTATTACTGTAACTGAATGTTGCCAGTATACATGAGTGAAGAAAATCTGGGATTGTTTACTATTTCCTGTGACAAGGCCTTTTATTCAGAAAGGAAACTGAACTGACGGACTACAATATTCTCTTAAAATGTGTCCCCTTCCTGTAACCTCTGTCTCTCTTGTGATTCAGAGTTGAGGAGAGTTTCAAGACTCTCTTCTGGTCTATTTTTGGGCTGTCCGAGGTGTCGTCAGTGGTGCTGAAGTATGACCACAAGTTCATAGAGAATATCGGCTATGTCCTTTATGGGATATATAACGTCACCATGGTGATTGTTCTCCTGAATATGCTCATTGCGATGATCAACAGTTCCTACCAAGAGATAGAGGTGAGATGTGGTTGTTGGTTAGGGTTGCACCGATGCCATTTTTTTCAGGCCGAGTACAAGTACTTACATTTGTGTACTTGCCTATACGAGTACTTACGGAAGTATTTATACCATTGAAAATTACAACGAACCAACCTGGCATAACCTGTCCAATACTTGACTTGGCATATCCAGACCAATATGGTTGACAAGTCTCTCGCTAGATGCCAAAATCTGACTGGGCAGCAGAAAAAAAAAAAAAAGACAAAACGCTGCAGCTCTCAGTTTTAATATAATCTTGCAATTAAGTGGTATTGGTTCTTGGTATCGGAGACTCTTTACATGTATGAGTATATGCGCGCAGTATCTGCCCAATACCCGATTCTGGTATCGGTGCACCCCTAGTTGTTGGTAATCTAAATGAGTAACTGGGAATTGTCAGTTTGCGTGAATCTCAGTGAACGTGTGACAGACATTATCAAGAGGCGTGCTAAGTCTTTTCAAAGCAATAAGTGGTGGTCATTTAATACAGAGACCATCTGAAGCTGGAGCTGGGGTTTCTGGGTCTCTCGCAGGACGACGCAGACGTGGAGTGGAAATTTGCCCGTTCTAAGCTATGGCTGTCCTACTTCGACACGGGGAAGACACTGCCACCACCATTCAGCATTGTGCCCAGTCCAAAGACCCTCTTCCAGAGTATCAGGAGGCTGACTGGCCTGCTCAGTCACCGCCGGCCCAGGATGAGGCAGGATGTGGAGCTGGGAATGGACCACTCCAAATCCAGGGTAATGGGACACACCCTTCTGAATGCCTCTGAAGGTCTGTAAGAGTGGCCCGTGGACCAGGCATGTTCACTTCCAGCTCTGGAGGAAGAATACAGAGATAAGCCTAAGACTACACCTATACCAGGACTTAACAAACCTATAATACTCTCATCTAAAGAATGGGCTACATTGCAAGATCCAAAGTAAGACTCACAATTAGGGTCATTACAGTATAGCTTATCTGACGTGTTTCCAGGGAGAAGGGATAATCAATTTTGGAATATCAGTACTCCAACTAACTATTAAGCCACAAAAATTCAATGGGTATTATAATTAAATAAACCACTGACTCCCCCAGTCAAAATGATTTGATATAATTTGTGTATATAACGTTTGCAATGGCGTCCTCAGTGGATACCGTCTACATCCAAGTGGCCTTTTCGAACTGTTCCTTCAGCTGTAGCCTACCTGTAGCACATAACGCTCCCGATTTTGTCTTGACAAAGAGAGTCATTTTCCAGTTTACTTGTGACAAAAGACCTTTTGGGTTGCAGCTCAACCTCTTCAGTCGGACCCAGTCAAGCCTGCGCATTGCTGAGTTGCACAGTTTTGGTGGAGTACCAAACCGGCCCACACGCTATCAGGCAAGGAGCTCTGTTTCCCGCAACTCGGTTGCTGCCAGTCGGGATTCTTTGCAGTGGGTCCATCGCTGACATGGGTAATTGTGCCTGTTTTTATTTCAGCAAATAATGAAACGTCTGATCAAGCGCTACGTACTGAAAGCACAAGTAGACAAAGAGAACGATGAAGTAAACGAAGGTATATGGCTTCCCTTTAATATCCATGAAAAAAAAATCACATCGCGTTTCTTTCCACCTGTGCAACCGTTCGAACCTTTTTCCCCAGGTGAGTTAAAAGAAATCAAGCAGGATATTTCCAGTCTTCGGTATGAGCTCCTGGAGGAGAAGTCCCAGGCCACTGAAGAGCTTTCCCTACTGATACAGAAGCTCAGTGACAAGCTCAGTGTCAACGTCAGGCGTTGTGAGTGACAGCGACAAGGACATCTACCAAGACTTCACCTATAATGAGGGAACTAGATCAAATACATCTCATTTCTTCCACTGTCCCAGCACAAATGATGTTGATATTCTAGTGAAACTGGCGATCCAAAAATACTTACCGTTCTTTAAAAAAAATAAGATTAAATATAACCTCATTCTTGTACTGCTATGGCTGTACGAGTTACTTTGCTGTGTTTAAACATTTTTAACATGCATCCATCAACATTTTTACTAGCCTATTGTGAATGAACATAAGCCACATTTGTTCTTTTCTTTCACGGCGTGTTTGTTCATGTTGAACAAACGCACTGCTAGCCAATTTTCAGTTCCCATACTCACTGTGGAACGTTTGATGGCTTTGCGATAGTTTGTGCATGGTTAAAAATCCTTCTGATGTTAACAGCACAAATGACAGCAATAACAGTTACATTTTGAGACTGACTGCTGATGGTTTTAATTTATTTAAAATGTTTAACTGGTCAGCATAAGACATATTTCAGTCATTTTATCTTTGATTTATGAACACTTTCCTTTATAGGGTTATGCAAGACTACAGACTATCTTGAACATTGTTCAGACATTGTGTTAATAAAAAAAAAAAATTTTTGTTATTCATTTTCTCTGCTGAAGAGCCAGTGGTGATAATTTAATTGACATATATCATATTTTGTAATATTACGTGGATACTTAGACCATTTGTAATATATATATATATATATTTCACTCCGAGACATTTCTCTGAATTATCGGTTGGAAAACATGAAAAGTGGAGATGCCGGGGATTGAACCCGGGGCCTCATACATGCAAAGCATGCGCTCTACCACTGAGCTACATCCCCTTCCGTTGTAGCGTGCACATATTACTCTTAAAATGGTTAGTACAAAGTGACATTTAAACACAATGTTAAAATTACTAAATATGTGCATTAAATATGATAATGGTCTGAGTTGGCATATCACTGACACTTTAAGCAATATGATTGTCTATAACTCATCGGTAACTGAGTGACGCTTACTCTGATCTCGATTTCTGGAACAGCGATTGATTAGGTTTGCGCTACTAATCTGCTTTGTGGAATACCCCCTGAATTTATCAATCAAGGCCACATTTATGTAATTTGGCAGACGCCCTTCGCCAAAGCGACTTACATAAGTACTTCGAAGAAAAACTAGTACTATTTTCCTTTCAATGGTTAAAAAGTACATACTACGTGAATAATTTCAAAAGAGACCCAGTTTCAGTGGACCGCGAGTGACATTTTAAATATAAAAATATAATGTATTTCATTTAACTAAGCATTTTTAAAGTCCTCCAAAACATTTTTAATGTCCTCCATAATTCATGAAAAAAAAACTGATTAAATAATAAACACACTAGCTCCTCGTTAGTATAGTGGTTAGTATCCCCGCCTGTCACGCGGGAGACCGGGGTTCGATTCCCCGACGGGGAGTAAGATAACCTTTTCTCGAGCTTTCGAAACTTTAGTGTTTTACAAAGTTTCACCGTTTTCCTTCAAGCATTCTCCTTATTTTGCCCCAAATTTAAACGCAACATTTAAGGGGGGGTACAAGATATAATACACTGAACGACCAAACACGTATGTTTTAATCTGCTTACTTCCGGTTTTTCCGAAGTTCCTCTGTTTTCTTTAACCATTCTCCTGATTTTCGCCCAAATTTAAACCCAACATTTTGCTGTGTTTATTCTGCGGACAGGTTGACGTGAACAGACGCCGTAAGGACTTTACTTGCTGAGGTGGCCAAGGCGATATTTTTTCTTATACTTATTTTGTGTTCGAAAGATTGAGCATTACAACACCTTATTAGCGCAATACAATCCAGATTTCTGTACTTGTTTTTGTTAAAACCAAAAGAGCTTTTTCCAAAACCAGTGACCAACTCCTTGTTAGTATAGTGGAGACTGGGGTTCGAATCCCGGACGGGGAGATCGAAATCCTTCTACTGCCCTCTTTTCAGCACTCTCTATTTTCCTCTCAATTATTCTGCTAAGCGCTCGCATACAACACAATACTGAATCACATACACTATGAATATACTCTACAACAAATTCCACTGGAAAACCCCTTGAACCACCAATGTTAGGAAACAAATATAGTAGTCTGAGAGCAAAGGCGCAGGAGACAGTTTGATATTGGCGGGGGGGATACAACTTAACAGTCTATTTATTGGGGGGGATTAATGAATACGAATTAAAAAATGGGAAGGGGGGGGAAGACATGTCCCTTGTCTTCCCTGGTCCCTACCCTGCTGTCTAAAAATTAAACTCGATGTGATCAGACACTGTAAACTTATTTGCAATTACATTTAATCAGCCCCTCCCCTTTCCCTTTAACACTGTCAGGATTTCAAGCTGATCTGCAAAATGGAAAATAAGAAGCATCTCTCAAAAATGCAGAGAGAAATGATTGCAGTGCACAAAAAAAGGCTACAAGAAGCTTCCCAAGGCAATTCCAGCACCCAAGAGACAATTTACAGCATCATACACAAGTTTAAAATGAACGGTACAGCAGAAAACCTACCTGAGCATGGAAGAAAGAGCAAAATTTCACCTGGGGGAGTCAGACATTGGGGGTTTCTGGGACACTGTTTTGTAAAACTAAGCCAGAACCGTTTGGACCCATGGACCAGGGGTATTTCTGATATAAGAGATGGTAAGTGTATAAGACACCACCCTTAGCATTGGGATTCTTTGAAAGGCCATTCTTGAGAAGAAAGTGATACCTTCAGTGCGTAAATTGAAGCTTGGTGATCATTTAACTTTCCAGCAAGACAATGATCCCAAGCAGGAGCATTTGGATGAGCAGGGGGACTATGGCGAAATCAGGGGGGGCCAAAGCACTTCATACCACACTCAGCAAAATCTGCTGAGGGGTACAGGGTGACATTTTGTCAGGGCACCAAGACTTTCCAGCTATGCCCCTGTAAACCAAGCACAGCACGAAGTCAACCACAGCTTGGTTCAAGGCTGGGTCCTGGAATATCCTTGAGTGTTCATCTCAGTCCCCAGATTAGAAGGTAGAACTTTAAAAAGAAATAAATTGATAGATTTAAATCTCATTCAAAATGAGGTTCTCATGATTGTAGTTAAAGTATCTTTAATTGGAGTAGCTCCCTTATTAGGTTATTGCCGTTGGTAACGTATTATATAGCTAGCTCTTGCTACAGTGCAAACTTGCTCTACTTACTGATCATTCAGTGGAACTCCAACGTCGCTCATTGATAGCAGTACTCGCGTAATGTGACTTGATTGTATGCCGGTTTGGACAAAGTGTCTATTAAATATGTGTGTAAATGTTGAAAAAATAAAGATCATAGGTAACTATTTTTTGTCTTATGTCCACAAGTACAGCTGTCACTGTATTTTGAAGATGTTGTGTGAGCTGCATAGCGTTAGTATTATAAGTACCATCATTATTATTTCGCTCAGTTCTGTTACTAGTCCTGACAAGAAAATGTGCTTATGGATATCCCTGCTTTGCTACTGGATGAGCTAAAATACGTATGTGCTCTGTTTGAAACTCAGTGGTAAAGGAGGAGTTAACATCAGACGACACTGGCGTAGTCCTAAGTGTACGCTGACAACTTGTCCCTGCCTTTGTGTCTTTTAAGCAAAACTGCAAACGTGCCTCGGGCGAAGAAACATCGTTCCACTTGCTCAGTGACTTCCGTCCTGTCTTACCCTCCACTATAATGAATTATCTGGAAAGATTAAGACGACAAAAAAATGAAAAGATGCATTGGCCGGGAATCGAACCCGGGCCTCCCGCGTGGCAGGCGAGAATTCTACCACTGAACCACCAATGCTGAGATGTGAGCCCACTTTCTTTCCTTCGAAGTGACATTTCATATCCTAGGACTACTGAAAACGTGGGCAAGGAGGTACAGACGATGGATGGATGGATGAAATTCCTTTTCAAGAACATAACAGACAAGTTCACTTGGACTAAACCCCGTCAGGGATCCCTTTAGCTAAACATCCCTATACAATTTCCCATTCATTTTCTATAGTATTGCTAAACCACTACGGATGTAATATACTTTCGGCCGCAACTGTGTTAATGGCGCAACAGCACGCTTCTGCCAACCCCCGCAAGCGGAAAGTTCCTTAGTCCACGTGGTTACTGAGCGGTATCGCGTACGTACTATAGTGTAGGCCAGGCCTGCCCAACCTGCCCTTGGAGACCTACCGCCCTGCAGAGGTGCAGTCTAGATTTAACCAGACTTGCCAACTTTGGTCAGCTGGCTGGCCTGAGATTTTCAATTAGAGTCTGCACACGCATTTACACGCATGTAACAGCTTTATTACCTTGTAAATAATTTGTAAGGTTTGCAAACTACCCCAACGCTTCTGATGTAGCTAATTTTAGGTTTATAATGGAATAACATAGATTTGCCTTAAGATTTCTTGCGTGGGTCTGAAAGCGGAACATCGTAGTTTCAATATAGTTATCTCTAATACTGAGATAATGCTGAATGGTCTTCTTGTCTCTATCAGGTGTTTTAAATCAGGGCCGCACTTAAGCTCTGCATAGTACAACCTGCGCTTCTGCATTGCGGCTTCTCCCATCGTGGGGTCGGCATAAGAAATTAAATGGGATTTTGTTTTGTTTATTTTCTTTTAAGTTTATGGAAGTTTTACGAAAGGCGTAGACGACACTCGAAGGCCAGCAGGCGGACATACAAAAAGTTTAGTGACCCCTAAATGCATAAGATACGTACAGCGCTGGTTCGCAGGACGCCGGTCGTCTTTGTGGCCGCAGCCTCTCGCGTGATTCTCACTCATCGTTGCATCTCGCGTTTCTAGGATCTTTTCGGTTCGTTTCTCTCCGCTGACGAGGACGAAGGGGACCGACACCTATCACTTAACGTGGATGCTCGGGCAGTCCGATTGTAGACACTTGTTTGCACTTTTAATTAGAACTTTTGATGTAGGTTTTTCTATTACTTGCCATTTTTATTCCCGTAATAATAACAAAGCTGAAGGAAGACTCGCTTTTCTGGGGTAAGTAATGTGTGAATGTCATCCGTTCTTTAATGCACCATAATTCGATGAAACCGCAGCAGAATTAAATTCGCTTTCGAGCTGCTTAGGCATCATATTGTTTTCACTTCCTGCATCTTTTATATAAGATCATCCCCAACTTGAGAGGTGATCATAGTCGTTTGAAAACAGGCATGGTCTTATATATGTATCATAGCTGTAGCAAAATAAGTATCAGTATTGCATCCGCAGATACTTCATTATTTAACCACTTGAGTGACATATTTTAATCAATAATGAAAATGTATACTGTCAGAAAAAAGTGTACAGCCCTCTTACAGTTTTGTTCCCCACGGTACAAGCAACATTAGTGTACCCGCAATGGTACAAAAATGTTCCTCAGAGTCCATTTCTGTACCTTAAAAGGTACTTTTACCTACAGCTGGGGTACAGTTGGCAGACCCTTGAGAGTACAGCCCCAGTGACAAGTCATTGTACCCTCAAGGTACAAATTAGTACTTTTTTTTCTTACAGTGTATAACAAAATATTTCTGTGGCGAGATATATGTACTACAGCACATAAGGATGTGTTTTAAATCACTACAAAACTTTGTTTGAAGAAGTACCTTTGAAATAATGTTCGCCTTCATAAAAGGGACAGGGGGGCATGTACACCCCCAATTTTTAAATTGTATTTATTAATCCCCCTCAATAAATAGACTTGTATTTCAATTGTTAGTTTTATATTGGGGGGCATACAACTTGTCTCCTGCACCTTTGCTTTCAGAAAACTATATTAGTTTCCTGACATTGGTGGTTCAAAGGGGTTTTCCAGTGGAACTTGTCGTAGAGCATATTCATAGTGTATGTGATGCAGTATTGTGTTGTATGCGAGCGCTTAGCAGAATAATTGAGAGGAAAATAGAGAGCGCTGAAAAGAGGGCAGTAAAAGGATTTGGATCTCCCCGTCGGGGAATCGAACCCCGGTCTCCCGCGTGACAGGCGGGGATACTAACCACTATACTAACGAGGAGGTACAAGGCAGTGTTGAAAAAAGCTCTTTTAATATCAATAGATACAAGTACAGGAACAAGGATATCGATTTGACACTTTCAGACACAAGACAAAGTTTAAGACAAAATTTCGCCTTAGCCACCTCAGGAAGTGAGCTGCTTACAGGTTGTCATGAGGCTTGGTACATTGTTCTCTGTTCACCTCAACAAAAATGGTGGAATTTGATACTGCACTAGTGTTTCTCAATATGCACATTTGACCGTACTTGTATTCTCGCGTAGCCGTTTTATGTCATCTTCCATTGCCGAAGACCAGTTCCAATACTCAAGAACAGAAAGAAGAGGATGGTAAACATTCTCAAACACAAAAGTTAAGCACAAGAATAGACACTCACTCCCTTAACTTCCCTTAACTTTTCCCATTCGTTTTCAATTTCAAGAAATAGGGGACCTCATACACCACCTGTCAAAAGTGAGGATGAGAATTTGGTTGGGTTTGGAGTCCGTGCTGGCAAGACCTGGAAGGATATTTGGGACAGCAGGGATGATGGGTATGCAGCATTTATCCTCAGACAGCAATGTGTACCAGGCAGCAAAGTGTACCGACTACAGCAGTACCTGAGGCTGAAACACAGCAATCTTCAGATGTCACTGGATGCATCTGCTCCCTAAACGACCAGCACTTCCAGACACTTCTACTAATCCTCCAGGTTGGCTGACAGATTCATATATGGGGTTTTGTGTGTTCATTATGCCTTTTATTCATATCTGTTTTGTTTTATAGAAATAGAGGAAGATGAGGAATTGGAGAGGATGATGCTTGGTTGGTCCCCTTCCAAAACCAAAAGCCCGATGAGTGAGAATCCTGAGCACACACACAAACAAACAGTCACTCTTCAGGATTCATATACTAGGTATTAAAAGATATGTTTTGTATGCTTTCAGTAGATATAGCACCCTTTCTCTGTTTCTAGATTTGCTCAGTTAAATTGTATTTGATTTGCTAAAGTCTGTTCATCCTAATTTAATTTTCACTGAAATAATCTTGTAATATCTTCATAGGGATGTGTTGCCTTTAAAGTCCTTGGTCCTGCTCCACATGGACATTTGCAGTGGGTTTCATGGAAGACCACAGAGGATATGGTGGAAGAGGCGACTTCTGGGAACGTGACCAACACGTGTGCTTCACGCAGCCAGTATAACAACGACATCGTCGGTAAACTTGATTTGTTCCACTGCATGAGGCGATTTCTATGTCAATGTGTTTCAGAGCTTCATTCACTATACAGCACATTCAGCCAGTTTCTCTCTGCGGCTTTCTCTGTGGTTGATCAAGGTGACCTGGAGAAGTTGAGAGAAACATACAGATTCTGTGGAACTTCTCCAACTAACCCAACAAAACACATCAGGGAACATTGTAGGATAAAAATCCTACAACCTTTGGAGCTGTTGAAGAGAATGGAAGATGTCCTGCACCACTTCCACTTGGCCCCAGATCCCAACGGTCTGCGTCTTCTCAAGCCTTCCATGTTAAAGACATGGAGAATCCAGCGCATCCATATCCTGAGAAGCTGCTTGAGTGATCCTCAGGTGGAGGAGGGTATTTTATATGAACTTTGCAGCTCAACCACGTTCCAGGTGAAGGAGCAGCTGTACCTGTCTGGATTCCAGTGAAGGGTACCTCCCAGCAGGAAGGCTTCCATTTCCATCAGGCTCAATGGGTGACAGGTATACGTGCCTGGAACAACTCAGGAGAGACACAAGGCATGACCGGAGTGGTGCGCTGGAACTTTCAGAGGCTGGTTGACCTGAAGTTACCAGATGTGGCCTTACCATTAGTGTTCAACCCCCTGTTAATAGTGGAATTGAACAAGGCTTCTGTGAAGGTGACTGGAGAGGCCAAATATCCAGTCCTTCAGACATCCAGCCGAGATACCGGGGAGAGGTTTGGGCTTCAGTATGTAAAGCCAGGCTGCCGTCCAGCCCCCGTCAACTGGGAGAAGCACAAGACCCAAAGAACAGTACAGACCCCAAAAGCTGTAGAATTCGAGGGACACTCTCCTTCAGTCTCGCAGCCCTCAGCCCTGAAGATGTTCCACTATCATGTTTCTTCAGAAAAGCCCATGATGGAGGACACTGCACAGGTAATAACTTCCATAACTCTTTCACTTTCTTTAACTCCAATCGCTGGCAACTTAACTGACTTGAATGTTTTTTTTTTCTTCAGGAGACCAAAGGCAATTAGAAATCACTGCAGAGGTCCATTCATCACTGGAAGGCCAGATCCTGCAATCCCAGCAGTACATGCCTTCAACACCAGCATTGTCATCTTCTGAAATTAAAGAGGTGCATTTAAATATCAGTTTGCCAGCATCTCTGCAAGCTGCCCTCATCGGCCCAATTAAGACAGGTGGTCGCGTCTTTGTCCCGGATCACAGCAGGTGGACACAGCCAATGAGAGATGCCATAGATGCTCTCCTTGTTAAGTATCATGGAGAAAAAGACATGCTGAAGCTTGTGGATGCTGATTATGCCACCATGGTGCATAGTGCCTGCACCGATCCAAACAGCCTTCTTTATCCTACAACAAAGCAGCATATCGCAAGGTATGTTAAGCACCTGGCCAAGAAGAAGAGCACCAGCTCAACACTGAATACAAGTGAGGAGAGACTCCAGGAGACGAAGCACCTTTGACTAAAGATGATGTGGAGAGGATAGTGAAGGAAATTGTGAAAAAACAGCAGGCATTACAGCAGCAAGGGCAGAAAAAGACCATAAGGAACTGTCTTGCATGCGGCCAGCCAAAATCCCGCTTCCTTGGCAATGGCTCCCACATTAATTTTTTTTTATCAGTCAGCAGAAGTTAAATACTTCTACTGCTCTCAGAAGGTCTTCCAGACCTATGCAGCCAAGGGTCTCACTGGTCCCAGGATGAGCTTCCAGGACTTTGCTGCTACTCCCTTCTTCCAGCAAGAACTAAAAAGCTCAAAAGATAGGGCAGCTGAGAAAGAGAGTAATGGAGGAAAGAGGAAGTCACAGGAAGAGCATCCCAGTGGTCGTCTGTGTACATTCTGCCACTTGCCATTGAAGCAGAGCCCAAACAAACCCCCATATACACACTGGCTTTACTGGTGTCACAGGAAAGTACATTTACTGTCCTGCAAAAGTCTTCTCTTTGAACCAAGCACAGGGTATGCAGGCAGAGATGACCTGGAGGGAGTTTCAAAAATCTCCCTTTTATGAGGCTGAAAAGCAGCATTGGTCGGGGGAGAGAAAAAAGTAACACACTACCTGCTACTTCAAGAGCAGTGTTATTTGTAAAAATTGTAATAGGGATTAAATTAAATTTAAATATATATGTTCATTGATACTTATTTAAATGCAGAAGACAGTGTGAAATAGTCAAACATATCAGACAAGACAAACAAACAAAGCAAAACAGAAACATTCACATGTACATTCACAGATGCAACTGTCTCAAGAATTACAAAGTAAAGGGAAATAAGCAAAGCTAGATATGTTGGTGACACAGATGTACTCAATTTAAACCCTAATAATAAAATAAATATTAAAACCAATAAAGGATGTAAAGTGGTTCCCATGTATGAAATGTGCCCTCCTTGCAATGTATAAAGCATGTGAAAGTGTCCCGGGAAACATACTGGAATGTGACCTTGTGCTTTGAAGTGTTTTGGACGGAACTTTATCCAATCTCCCCACTTTGACCAGTCCATTAGTGTTCTGCCAGTGACTTAGTGCTGCATTATTATATACTTGGTCAAATTTAAAAATTATTAAAATTGTTTAATTTTATCTGCTATTTGAATATGTATAATTCTCAACTGTGAACATTATCACCCATGTCATTGTGCAGCCGTCATCCCAGAGACTTCTTTGCAGTCTTCCTCAGGGCTTAATGCAGCCTCTGCTCCCCTCACTGTACCCCCCGAATCCTCTGCTCCTCCAACCGCAACCCCTGCAGCGACTGCTCCTCCCACAACGCTCCCTGTGGCATCTTCTGGGTACACCTCAGCTCAGGAAAAGCCTTCTGCTCCACCACTCCCTAGCACTGAGCAGGACGTGAGCCGATGGAAGTGCTCTCAGCAGCAAAGAACCTGGATGAAAACAGAAATGAAAATGTTGGGACTATGGCCAGGCTCCCGACCAGTGAGACATGCAATGAACATGATCTCCTTGTGGCGGTACCCACCACAGCCTGAGCTTATTGATTCTGTCTATGAGCTCCCATCACCAAAATACTTTCAGCTTCATCCATTTTTCATTTGGAAACCAGACCACCCCATTATGGACAGAGTCCGGAACAATTACTCTCTTCCATGTCTGTACGGCTGTCCCAATCCCCATGTCGTCTCATCTGGAATTGGACGACCACGTGTCATTATTGGTACAAGTGGCCAGTACTACATACTAGCTTCTAGGCTCAACTGTAAAGTCTGCAAAAAGTACTGGTTTGCGGACAAACCTCAGTGGATGGACTTGCTGCCTGCACGGTTCCACAACATTTTGCCAGCTTTTCTGACATACAGAAAGGCCATATGCAAGACTGTGATGGATGAATTGCGGCGCACAGGAAAGTCTCCCAATGACATGGCCAACCAGTTAAATGAAGGTCTAAACCTCCGGTACGAGCGTGCACACCTGTCTTACCTGACCACTGTTAAGAATGTGCTGGATGGAGACAGTGGACTTTATGGTCAGCGTACAATCACAGGGGCACTGAGAGCAACAAATACTCCTGCTCGATTTGGTAGATATGCTGACCTGGACGGCTGGTGTGGAGTAAGAGTCTCAGCCCACTACCTAGTTGATTGTCTCATTCAGGAGTACCACCGGCAGGAGAGCACACTCAATCTGCTCCTTCAAGGCACTTTTGGACAGGCCTTAAGGGCTGACCATACCCGTAAGGTGGCCCGGAAGGTGGTGCTCGTATCAGGCACCATGTCATCCTACACCATTATGAATGAGAACTGGATGATCTTGTCCTGGGTGATGCTGCAGTCTGAATGTGACAAATCTCTGGAGCCAATGTATGAGGGGCTGTCCCGGCGTTACGTTTCTGCAGGAATACCAAAAGCCAAGTATCAGTGGGTTGACAGGTATAAACCAACCTTCACATTTCCCTTTTATCTATTTTATTTTACTTTTTGTATAGAAAGTTAAACAAAATCTACCAGTATGTATATGTATATATGTCTGACATTTTAAATATACTTTTTTGTGTACAGGGATTGCTGTTCTGCCTTCAGGATCCCAAACTCAGGGCCCCAGGAACACCATGTTTGGGACTCTTGGAAGACCACAGAGGCTATAGTGGCTGAAGCAACCTCTGGGAATCACACCAACATGTGTGCCTCTCGCAGCGAATACAACAGCAACATCAGAATCAAGCTGGACTTGTTCCACTGTATGCGCCGTTTTACAAGAGAGTGTGTGTCAGAGCACCATCCACTACACAGCTCTTTCTGCAAGTTTCTGTCTGCGGCTTTTAGTGTTGTGGACCAGACAGACCTACAGAAACTGAAGCAGGCCTACACCTTCTGTGGCATAGAACCTGCAAATCCAACAAAGCAGCACATAAGGGAACACTGCCGCACCAGGATCCCATCTCCCAAAGAGCTACTGGAGAGAGTGGAGAGCGTTCTCCAGAGATTCTTTTTAGAATGTGACCCAGATGGTGTGCTGCTTTTTAAACCATCAATGTTAAAGGTCTGGAGGATTCAGCGAGTCCACATCCTCAGAGGCTGCCTGAGTGACCCAGAGGTTGCAGAGGGAATTATATACAGATATGGTGGAACACTACAACTAAACCATGTCAAGGGTGAGGGGGCAACTGTACCAGTGTGGATCCCTGTGAGAGGGACTTCTCAGCAGGAGGGGTTCCATTTCCATCAGGCAAAATGGGTCACAGGGACACAGGTCTCCACAGAACTTTTCCAGGCACAAGGCATGATTGGGGTTGCTCGCTGGAATTTTCAGCGCCTTGTGGATCTGAAACAGCCTGGTGTGAAGCTCCCTGCAGTTTTTGATCCGGTCTTAATCATGGAGCTAAACAAAGTGTCAGAGCAAGTGACAGGCCAGGCCAAGTATCCTACTCTAATTGTCATGCACACAGACAGAGGAGAAAGGCTCGGACTGCAATACGTGGAGCCTGGCTGCCGACCTGTGTCCCTGGACTGGCATAAGCACAAGTACCAGAAGGTTGCTGCTGCAGGGGAGAGTGGGCACCCCTCTTCAGAGCCGACGACACTTGGTGAGAAAGTCACCGATTACACAACTGAGGAGTTAATGGAGGTACACTTTGCTCAGGTCAGCTTGACAGTTGTACTTACAAATATCATCACTTATCAAACAAAAAATGCAACTATGTGATTGTGGATTGTAACACAAATGAATAACCCTGTTTTCCAGGATGACACCTTTGATGTGGCTACTAGTGGCTCACAAATAATGATCCAGCCTACCAAAGTAAAAGGTAAGCATCCCTTATTTAGTCCTTATTTATATGAACACTACAAATATTTTACAGGGTGTAAAGTAAAGGTTATTTGCCGTTTTCTCTTGCTTAGATGTGGTAGTGACGCCACCACTGCCCATTGCTGCCTCTCCACGAGCTGCACGCACAGGTCCTATCAAGGCAGGTGGCCTTCTCTTTGTCCTTGACCATTCTCGGTGGACACAGCCTATGAAGGATGTCATTGATGGCTTTTTGGCAAAACACCATGGACAGAAAGACATCCTCAACAAAGTGGACAGAGTATGCTGCCATCGTACACAGTTGCTCTAAAGATCCCAACAGCCTGCTGCACCCCACCACGGAACAACACATCTCTCGGTACGTAAAACATCTGGCAAAGGTGACGAACACAAGTTCATCTTTAAACACTAGCCCCGAGAAACTTCTGGAGACCCAGCAACTGTGGCATCACCTGACAGAAAGCCGAGAAACTGTTTCAGTGGCACTCCTCCCACCTGCCCCAGTCAATCCACCTTGCAGTACAGCCCCAAGAACCACCCTTATCCAAGACAGACATTGAAAAAATGGTCAAGGAGATCGTGGAGAAGCAACAGCAACAACAGCAACCTTTGAAAAAGAGGACAAGGAACTGTCTTGCTTGTGGCCAACCAAAGTCACGGTATCTTGGAGATGGTTCCTCCATTCACTTCTTTTACCAGTCTGGGCAGGTTAAGTACTTTTACTGCTCTACTAAGGTGTACCAGACATATGCAGCAGAAGGCCTAAATAATCCTCGAATGCCATTTGCTGACTTTGCTGAAACACAGTTTTTTAATCGAGAGCTGGAGGCCGCAAAGCAGCGTTCGGCAGATACGAAGCGCATCTTGGAGGAGAGGGGAAAGAGAAAGGGCAAGGAGCAGCATCCCACTGGTCGCCTCTGCAGGTTCTGTCATAAGCCACTCAAACAAGGGCCAGAGAGTCCTCATTTTCATACTGGATTCCCTGGAGTGGCTGGTAAATATGTTTATTGTCCTGCCAGAGTGTTTTCCTTCTATAAAGCTGAAGGAATGACTCGTGAGATGACGTGGAGAGAGTTCTCTCAGTCTCCCTTTTATGAGGCTGAAAAGAACAGATGGACAGTGGAAAAAGGAAAGTGACTGCTTTTTTTTGTAAGTAAAAGTATAATTCTTTGTCCTGTTTGTTATTAGATAGTAATTTGCATGCCAAAAGCTCAGTAAAAGCTCAGGGGTTTGTTAAAGTGCCCTGTTTGACTAAACTGTTTCAGAGATTTATTTTCAATTTATGTCTTGTTGATATATTACCAATATGTGCAGTTTTTATGTAAATAGTTAAATGTTTAAATGTAAAATGTATAATTAACAATCTATCTTTATTGTTAAGGGCTGATTATTGTTATTTATAAGGGAAGAGATTAATCCATTGTTGTTTTTGTACATATATATTCAGAATTTAATATTTGTATGTTCATATTTTTTTATTTAAGAAAACTAGCTATTAAAACTAGTTAGTTAGAAAACGAATAATTTGTTTATAGTTTTGGATTTTTGGAATATTTAGTTATTATTAAAGTATTATTTAACTGAAAATGTCTCTCAAAGCCTTGACTGTTACTTTGCACAAACACTAAGTTGTATGACCAATTGCCCCAGTTCTTTTATAAATAAAACAAGTATTTGTTAGAAAACAAGTTTCAAAGGCTATTAGAAATAAAATATTACATGATAACTGTTTCATATTACATTAAATCTTCAAATGAGTGAGTGGGTCAAAAGATGAAAACATTTTCAGTTGAATGAATGAAACCTCAGATCCACCCTCATTTTTTCCCTCTCTTCTGATTGGCTAGTCGTTGCTCTACAGTTATCCGCGGCTGGCCGCAGCCCTCAGCCCTGAAGATGTTCCACTATCATGTTTCTTCAGAAAAGCCCATGATGGAGGACACTGCACAGGTAATAACTTCCATAACTCTTTCACTTTCTTTAACTCCAATCGCTGGCAACTTAACTGACTTGAATGTTTTTTTTTTCTTCAGGAGACCAAAGGCAATTGGAAATCACTGCAGAGGTCCATTCATCACTGGAAGGCCAGATCCTGCAATCCCAGCAGTACATGCCTTCAACACCAGCATTGTCATCTTCTGAAATTAAAGAGGTGCATTTAAACATCAGTTTGCCAGCATCTCCGCAAGCTGCCCTCATCGGCCCAATCAAGACAGGTGGTCGCGTCTTTGTCCTGGATCACAGCAGGTGGACACAGCCAATGAGAGATGCCATAGATGCTCTCCTTGTTAAGTATCATGGAGAAAAAGACATGCTGAAGCTTGTGGATGCTGATTATGCCACCATGGTGCATAGTGCCTGCACCGATCCAAACAGCCTTCTTTATCCTACAACAAAGCAGCATATCGCAAGGTATGTTAAGCACCTGGCCAAGAAGAAGAGCACCAGCTCATCACTGAATACAAGTGAGGAGAGACTCCAGGAGACGAAGCACCTCTGACTAAAGATGATGTGGAGAGGATTGTGAAGGAAATTGTGAAAAAACAGCAGGCATTACAGCAGCAAGGGCAGAAAAAGACCATAAGGAACTGTCTTGCATGCGGCCAGCCAAAATCCCGCTTCCTTGGCAATGGCTCCCACATTAATTTTTTTTTATCAGTCAGCAGAAGTTAAATTCTTCTACTGCTCTCAGAAGGTCTTCCAGACCTATGCAGCCAAGGGTCTCACTGGTCCCAGGATGAGCTTCCAGGACTTTGCTGCTACTCCCTTCTTCCAGCAAGAACTAAAAAGCTCAAAAGATAGGGCAGCTGAGAAAGAGAGTAATGGGGGAAAGAGGAAGTCACAGGAAGAGCGTCCCAGTGGTCGTCTGTGCACATTCTGCCACTTGCCATTGAAGCAGAGCCCAAACAAACCCCCATATACACACTGGCTTTACTGGTGTCACAGGAAAGTACATTTACTGTCCTGCAAAAGTCTTCTCTTTGAACCAAGCACAGGGTATGCAGGCAGAGATGACCTGGAGGGAGTTTAAAAAATCTCCCTTTTATGAGGCTGAAAAGCAGCATTGGTTGGCAGAGAGAAAAAAGTAACACACTACCTGCTACTTCAAGAGCAGTGTTATTTGTAAAAATTGTAATAGGGATTAAATTAAATTCTCTCAAAGGTCCCCGGACCATCACGCTGCTCCCACCACGCTTGACTGATGGTATTAAGTACTGTTCTTGCATCTTTTCATTTATTCTGTGTCTCACAAATGTTCTTCTGTTTGATCCAAAGACCAGAAACTTGGAGTCATCTGTCCACAACACCTTTTTCCAGTCTTCCAGTGTCCAGTGCTCTTTTGCTTATGTCAGTCTTTTCTTTTTATTGGCCAGTCTCAGATGTGGCTTTTTCTTGGCAATTCTGCCATGAAGTCCAGCATCCTGAAGTCGCCTCTTCACTGCTGATGCTGACACTGGTGTTTGTCAGGTACTATTTAGTGCAGCTGCCAGCTGAGGACCTGTGAGGCGTCTGTCTTAAACTGCACACTCTCAGATGTTTGCCTTCTTGCACAATTGTGCATCGGGGCCTCCCGCTCCTTTTTCAGTCCTTGTTAGAGCCAGTTTGTGACGCTCAGTACTGCACTTCACATCCAACGTGTTATCACTCCTCAGAGCTACTGTCACAACATCTGTTGCCTTTCCCAACAACCTGGGCTGTATTTTTTCCGCCTGTTAGGCCTTTGTGTAAGCCTGTTTACTCATATGGGCCTTAGTCACATTGATAGTTCAATTGAATACTTATCAGTCTTTACATGTACTATCACTGGTGTTGTGTAGGGTTATGCGTCACATCAGTCACTGACTCCTCAGTCGCCCTCGGCGATCTCCTTGAAGCCGATCTAGATGATTATCCGGGTCACGGCACCAGTGTGACGGGCCTCTGCTTCTCTCGATTTCAGGTGGTGAATAAAGGATAGCCAGCGTAGGAATTCCTCATTGACTTTACTGTTCTCTGCATTCACAAAATAAAATAATTCACTTATTTAATTACACGTACGACTGTATTTGGGCCTATGGAAAACATAAAACAAAGTTAATAAAAGCAAGTTTTCTTTTCATTTTGTAGTGCATAGATAACGTAACGCGTAAAACCAACACGTCAATCAATTCCACTTTCCAACTGTATCGGTTGTACAACTTTTACATATATCTATGTATTCAACAATTTACAATGAAAAGTACTTTTTCATGAAAGATATAAAGTTATTCACCGAGCGCTCGCACGCCCAGCTTACCTCCAGCAACCTAAAGCTCTGACTGGAGTACGGGAAGCGCAAGAGCTAAAAAAGAAGAATAAGTCACGATTGCAGTCGGGAAGCTTCTTATTTAATCTGGAGTGGATGGGTATGACTTGAAAACCTTATTATTATTTTCTTTTAACATGTAAGAAAACCAATGAAATAGAAAAATGTAGATTACAATAGCATGACTACAGTAGTTTTGGAAGAATTCACTTTACCTAAATAGGATTCTTTTTTTTTACTTTTTTTTCCCGTTACACTTATAGGTTGTCATGAGGCTTGATACATTGTTCACTGTTCACCTCAACCTGTCTACAGAATGGACACTGCAGAATGTTGCGTTTAAACTTTGGCCATAGTTTGGAGAAAAACGGTGGAACTTGATACTGCTCGAGTGTTTCTCAGTATGCACACTTGACCGTACTTGTGTTCTCGCGTACCCGTTTTACGTCATTCCATTGCCGAAGACCTGTTCCAATACTCAAGAACAGAAAGCACAGAGGACGGTAAACATACTGGGAAACACAAAAGTTAAGGACGAGAAAAGACTAACTCACTCCCCGTCGGGGAATCGAACCCCGGTCTCCCGCGTGACAGGCGGGGATACTCACCACTATACTAACGAGGAGTTGTTTGGTGGGTTTGGAAAAAGCTTTTTTGGTTTAAAAAAAACAAGTACAAGAATCTGGATTGTTTTGTGCGAATAAGGTGTTGTAATGCTCACTCTTTCAGGCACAGGATAAGGACTATAAGAAAAAATATCGCCTTGGCCACCTCAGCAAGTAAAGTCCTTAGGGCGTCATGAGGCTTGGTGCATTGTTCTCTGTTTACGTCAACCTGTCCGCAGAATAGACACAGCAAAATGTTGGGTTTAAATTTGGGCGAAAATCAGGAGAATGGTTAAAGAAAACAGAGGAATTTCGGAAAAACCCGGAAGTAAGCAGATTAAAACATACGGGTTTGACCTTTCAGCGAATTATATCGTGCCCCCCCCCCCCTAATTTTATCACCAGGGTTTTGAAAATACCAAAACAAAGGCTTTTCAGAATTTCGTAATGTCCGTCTCCTCGTTAGTATAGTGGTGAGTATCCCCGCCTGTCACGCGGGAGACCGGGGTTCGATTCCCCGACGGGGAGTAAATTACCCTTTTCTTCAGCTTTCGAAACTTTAATCTTTTCCAAAGTTTCACCTTTGTTCGTCAAGCATTCTCCAAACTATATTCAAAGTTTAAACACAACATTCTGCAGTATCCATTCTGTGGACAAGTTGATACTGAGACATGTAAAATTCTTTTCTAAAATTCGAAATGTTTGTATAGAGGGGGCATGAAAGTTTTGTATATCGGATGTTTTTCATACGACCACAAAATGGAATTTCAAATGGGTGCATCCTCAGAACCTGACTATTTGATTAGACTGATGATTTTTATTTGGGTCAGTCAGAGGTTAGTGTCAAAAATAATTTCAATAAATGCATCCGGGATCCTCATGTTTTGAATAATTTATCCCACATTTTTAACAGTGTTGTCATGAGTGCGATGATGACTGGTACCTTGGTGCATGTCGGAAATATTGTCATGTTTTGCTAATAAAGTTTTCATTCTTTTTTTTAGTTTTTCCTGTTTCATACCCGCTTCCTGTTTGTAATTTAGGACTTGCTCTTTGTCCATGAAACTATATTATCAATAAAATTGACATTTAATTGAAATACTAGACGCTGCTTTATATATATATAGCCGTTTCTTTTCTACACACGACTGCTTTTTCGCAACTTAATTATGCCATTTAGCACGATAGGTTCTGCGTCATATGAATATTCCAATATGTTGGTTAAGATTATTTAAGCGTTATACATCAACAATCCTTATAGGGGATATTAATGATAATTTGGAAATCTGGTGTAATAATGTATTATGTTCGAGTAGCAACATTCATCCAATAAATCTGGCATGAAGTACTTTTAAATTTACAACTAATTTACAGTTAATTAATTTTAAGAGCTTTGGTTAAAACGGCTGCCAAAAATGCGGATATGAATATTGTGATGCAAAACAATGCAGTAGAAATGTCGGGAAACCGCAACCAAACACCATTCATCCATTATTCAACCGCTTATCTTTCTCGGTGTCTCTTGTCTCCGTGAAGACAACGTACTCCTCCCTCATACAATTACCATGCAGAAATGACAAATAAAGGCCACATTTCCGAAAAAGTATAGCCTGTAGAGGGCAGCACCACAGTGACCTGTAGAATATTCGAAACGCAATGTAGTGACGAACATTCTAATGTGGTTTATGAAGGAATCGATGGAAGGTTCTTGCAGCTGGCTCGTTGGTCTAGGGGTATGATTCTCGCTTTGGGTGCGAGAGGTCCCGGGTTCAAATCCCGGACGAGCCCGGTTTTTGCTTCCTCCAACTTTCATTGGAAATGACTTTCTCCATTGTCTGCGATAGTAGCTGACTGGATAAGCCAAGTAAATACACCCCAATATTATTAACTTTGTATGTTCCTCGGTCTCCGTGAGGAGTCCATTCTCTTAGTTTCGCATGAAGATGTGATACAATTTTATCTATTTTGACTGAGCTTTAAGTCTTAGTTACCCAAACCCTTTTGCCTATCTAAATGGATGTATGGAATGTATAAAATATACATACATTAGGAGCCCTAACACCTCTGTCTCAAAAGACCGACGCAGCCTGATCCCCTTTGTTCTGATTTTCAGTCTTCGTCCGGCTGACTTGCATACTGAAAGCCCTCAAGCTTTCATGCTCTGATGTCATGACAAACAAGATCTACTGCCAGCAACCCTGATGACACGCTACATCGGCAGCTTAGCCAACGAAACACACCACCGAAAAAAATGTTACGTCTTTTTCTCTCCATTTTGAACCGCTAACGTTATTTGTAATAAAAAAAAGTATCTGCATTTATACGCTTGTGCGGTCCTACACAATATATCCGTAGAGAAGGATCAGTTCGTGTCCCTTTATACTTCATTTTAATTACTAAAATAAACTGTTTAGTTGAACTTAGCTTAAGTTGATGATTGTGCAATTGTCCCGCAGTTTCCAAGTTATACACTTAGACAATATGGAGAAAGTCACACTAAATACTGATAGATTAATTGCATAACTTTAAGGGGACTCCTAGAAGTGACACCAATTATTCAGTGTAAACAGCGCGTTTCACTCTAAACGATCCTGCCAAGCAACAACATGAAATGTGATATGGTGAAGTTGAGGTGTATGTAGACACGATCGAGACAAGCTCGGGTTGTACCTCCTACAACATCTTGCATTATGTTTGTATATTGTTAAAAAAAGAAAAACAAAAGAACAACTTGCATTATGTTTGTATATTGTTAAAAAAAGATTAAAAAAAAAAAAACATCTTGCATTATGCTTGTATATTGTTAAAATAACAATAAAAAAACCACCTACAGGGGGGCGTGTCTGTCGTGTGACTGTCACGGTACCGCCGCCCACTGACTCTTAAAGCGAGCGATCGTGTTTCGTTTCCAAACACTATTCTGCTAGCAACACATTTTCGGAAGTAAGTATATTTGCTCCTATAAGTTATAATAAAATACATATTTTTCAAGTAATTCAAGTTGACGTACATTTACAAAAACTTAAATTGCATCATCTATGCAATCTGCCGGTTGCTTTGCTGTTTTTAATCTATGCATAGACTTCTGTAGCTTACCATATTGACAGGAGTTGCACTGAGTTAATTATATTGTTTAAACGCATTAATCTCGTGTTACATGTACGTTTTATTTCATGTACGTCCCATGCAGGTTTTATTTTCCATTTATGTAGAAAAAACGTGTACTTTTGAAACTTTTGCTGAAACTCGAACGATTTTCATGCGTTACGTAACAGCACAATATAAATGACAACAGCGAGATTTGCAGAATTCATTATTAATCTAAAGTAGCACATCAGTACATTTTTCGCAGATGATTCTGCACTTTAAATAGTCGAAGGGGAAACTGAGAATATGCTAAAATACAAAGTCCGTGTTTGCGGACTATGTACCGACATGCTTCGCTTCAGCTGGTCAGTGTCAGATCCGGAACTTTAAAAAAATTTGCATTAAAGTTTTGTATATCGGATGTTTTTCATACGACCACAAAATGGAATTTCAAATGGGTGCATTTATTTTGCAGAGAGGGCATCCAGATTTTATACTGAATCTCAGTGGAGCGTACTTATGTCGGATGTAATCGAGATCGACGCGGGAGATAAAGCGATTAGTTTATCTCCAATGGAGACGACAGGGAAAGGAATGTTGTGGGTTGTTCAGATAAGCCTGCTTGGAATGAACTGCGCTGCGTCGTTAATACGAGATACACCAGTAACCGTCATTCCTTCTCATTTCAGTGCCTCCTTACACCATTACCTACTTCGCTGTCCGAGGTATGTGCAAGATAAAGAAACGGTGTCATGCCCCCCTTTCAAATTTTTTGGTCTCCCCACCTAACATTTTTTCCTGACTTTGTGTTTAATAAAATAAATACTCTCACATAGAGACTAATCTGGTTAACATTGTATAAACTTCTCGAAATACTGTCCCGTCCGAATATTTTACCTTTGGTATTATTAATTGCAGTTGTTTGCACTAAAGTGTTCACAGCTGATAGGCCCTGTTCAGGCGTCTCTAGCCTGGGACACTGGGGGCCGAAGCCCCGAATGAATCCTAACGAGCCCCTAATGGTTTTAGCTCAGATGTTTTTACAACCGTACTATCCCTTAGAGAACTGGGACCAAATCCCAGACGTTATCCCACGATCCTAGCAACAATCCTTTAGTAAAGTCATTAAATTTATAATCAGAGTTTTTGTATTAGTAGTATTTCTGCCTGTATTACATATACAAATGGTCATCACCTATACAAAAGATATTGCTGTATCCTAACATTTTACTGGAAAGGAAAGGAGTTAAAGGGATCAAAAATCTAAAAGACAGAATTGGACATGGTTGTCATGCACTTTACATTGATAATCTTGTGTGTGCAGGCCGATGTGGTGCCATGAGGATCATGATGGTGGACCAGGGCCAGAAGTGGAAGGAAAACGTGGTGGCCTTTGACGAGTGGATGAAGGGCGACCTCAAAGCCACCTGTGTAAGTGGAGGTTTGGTGACGATCAGCAAAAATGGCACCGTATGAGCTGCAGCGACGTGCACGAACAAGTACCTGGTTTCAGCTAAAAATATGAAAATATTCTGTGCACATCTGGAAGGCTTTATTCACCCCATGCAAACTGTAGTTCTTTGAGAATCATAGTAGCATTACCCATATCCACTGGGTCTAAATTTACAGCAGTGTATTAGTGACAATGGCCATTTCAGAAATCCATCCCATTTTATCTATAGGTATTGTAGTTCAACTTTGATTTCTTCAGGTATTTGGACAGCTTCCAAAGTTCGAAGATGGTGATCTTGTCCTGTTCCAGTCAAATGCTGTTCTGCGTCACCTGGGTCGCAAGCATGGTAAGTTGCTTTGTCATTCTGATGAAGCAGAAATGCTCATGCTTTGTTATTTGGTTGCTTGCACGATCATATTCAAAGCCTTCCAAAATTTCTTTATGTATTTCAATATTTAATTTTAACCACAAGTTGCTCAGTTATTGAAGTATTTTGACAAAACATTTCAGATTTTAACTGTCATTTAACTGATGCCTTTACATTTGTTTATATATCAGACACTTTTGTCAAAAAGTTGTACAAGTGTCCAAGTTTTATCGCATGTTTTTTAATTTATATGTTTACTTGCAGTTGTATGATTCACTGGAGCAGTTCAGATTAAGTTCCTTGCTAAGGGGTGTTTTTGCAGTATCCCTTATGGAACCTTTGTTCATATTTTACACAGCTGCTCCACCTGCTGTCCCAGAAAATAATGAAATTTTTTTAGGCGTCATGTTCAGTCTTAAATCACAGCATGGCCATTTGCGGAAATTTCCCAATAGCACTGTGGTCTATGTTACTGCTTGGCATATTTCCGGAAGGGAAACTGTTTTTGTCCTACAGGGGCGTATGGCAGTAATGACAAGGAGGCCGCCCTTATCGACATGATGAATGATGGTGTTGAAGACATTCGTATGAAATACCTTAAAATGATCTACCAAGACTATGTAAGTATATGTTAAGCAACTTAGCTATAACTATGCCAAAAGCCAGGAAGAAGAATACTTATTTTTTTACAGTGTTGAATGTTCAACTTTCTTGTAATGTGCTACATTTTTTTACCATGCTTAGGACACTGGTAAAGACCAGTATATCAAAGACCTGGCTGGACACCTGTCAAAGTTTGATGCTGTCCTAGCTAGCAACAAAAGTGGCTTTCTTGTTGGTGACAAGGTAACTGATCTTGTTAGTCTTAAACACCATCCTTGCAAAGCATCTAAAGTTCTTTAAAAACAGCCCTTGAAGCAACTTTAAATTATTAAAGTAAATTATAGATTAGTCTTCTGATTCTCCACGATTGCCCACAGTAAATGTGGGCAATCGTGAGCAATACTGAAACTGATTTAGTACCCTGAAAACTAAATCTGGTTTAATACCGAGTACAAGTGAATTTAAGTGCCAAAAATTGTTCTGAAAATAATTTAAAAGCATTTTAAGTAAAATTTGAGTGAGTCTGAATTTGTAAATCAATAACGTGATGAGGGAGATATTTTCCTTTTAATCACATATAGCCATATAAGCTTCCTCCTTCCTTATCAAGGTCTTGTTATAACTTTGTCAACTGACACATTCCCAGCTTTATTTACCTTTTTCCGTTTAGATTTCCTTTGCAGATTACAGTCTCTTTGAAGTCCTGCTCAATCACCAGGTCCTGTGTCCCTCCTGTCTGGATTCCTTTCCTGCCCTGAAAAGCTTTGCAGCTATGATGGCTGCTCGTCCGAATATCAAGGCCTTCCTTGGCTCTGATGACTACAAGAAACTTCCAATCAATGGCAATGGGAAGCAGTGATAAATCATATTTTTTTTGTCTAGTGCACTTAATTGGCTACTGTCTCTTTGCAAGTAACCTGCATCTTCTGTGCAGCTTTATGCATTCCTGATATGAGAACCTGTACCAGCAATAGCTGTCTTAATAAACTGAGTTGCATTTGGCAGACTACTATACACGCATTGATCCTTTCGTTGTGGCTACGGAAATTCTCAGTCTTAGGTTACTCAGAACATTATTTAAAGAAGCACATCTTACAGTCTTAAAAAAGCTTTCAACTACATTTCCCATGAAAAGTAGTATACATGTATTGTAAACCAGAACATTCCATTTTCTAAAAATGAAACTTAATGACACAAATGAAACTATTGTTGGAGTCACAACTCCGCCGGAGTCCGTTGATGAGAAGAGATTCACTGCACAGTCGAGGAGTGGTTGCAGGTCACCAGTTTATTCTCTGACAGATTGCAATCTGGGAGCAACTATCTGACATACATTCAGCATGTACAGGGAGAAGCTCAAAACATCAGCATCAGTCCTGTACGTTTATAGGCCTTCTGGGGTGTTGGCCCCTCTCTTTCGGTACTTTCCACCTACGTGACCACAACAGATTTTGGCTTTTGCTCTAGTTAGTGTGTGTGTACATGTTCCCAGAAAAGAATAAAAATAAGTTGTCAGCTATATGATGGGTTCCTGTTCTCTTACTGTCTGGTACAAGGTCACCCTGACCTGGTCTCATGCTGACAGTTCCTGATTTTTCCCATCTACATGGTGAGATCACCTCATCCTAGTATCGGTTCCCATGTCTATTTTCTTCATTGGGTTAGAGGTCATATAGTTATAAAATTATTAGTTGCATTCTTAAATGATTAACCCTTCACTATCAAGTAAGGTTCCAGAAAAGCAAACAAACTAATATACAAATAAACACGAGCTACCCATAAACTCCAGACTGGTCATCATTATAAAGCTTGTTTAAAAAGCAAAATAAAGTGTGAAACTACAGCCAACTTTTCACAGGGAAATATGACTTTTGGTAGTTAAAATGTAGTCAAGGATTTTTATATCTTATGAAAAACACTACTTTCAATTCAATACATTACGAATAACGAGACTAATATTCTTTAGCACGAACGGCTTCTTGGTGCATGTTTCTAATACGACCACTAAGCGTGTAACGCCGCCTTAATTCCATTGGAGGAGAGCGAAGGAAGTGACGCTTTCGTTGCGCCAGAATAACAGTCCCGTATCCCGGTACAAACAGAACTAGACAAATCGGTTAAAAATACAATAAGCAAAGTACAGAATGTCGGTGGAAGAAATGGTTAAAGACATTCCTCAACTACAGGAACAGGAGCAAGATAGGGAAGAAAGCGAGGGAGAGCCAGAAACAGAGTATTACGGAGACAGCCAGTCGAAGGGCGGATATGTGTTTTACAGGTTTGCCGTTGCCGTCTCCATTCTTGGCATCTTCTGCGGCGCAAGTCGCTTTAGACACATCCCGTCATTTTTGCTGATATTAACGCTTTACTCGTGTCCAGTAAAAGTGCTTTGACTTGATTTCCCTTCCGTTTCAAAAGAGGCAATAAAAAAAGAAACGATCAATCAAAACTAGTTTTGCATGAATTCTTAATGGTGAAGCAGGGTTGCAGTTTCACGCATCTGGCGTGACACTTGCGTTTTCAGATTCTCACGCTCACGCCGGAAATCTTACAGCAAATCAATATTATTCCATTATAAACCTAAAATTGGCTACATCAAAAGCGTTTGAGTAGTTTTCAAACCCTACAGACTATTTACAAGGTGGTAAAACTGTTACATGCGTGTAAATGCGTGAGCATGTGTGTGCAGACTTGTCTCGAAATGAAACACTCATGCCAGATCGCTGACTAAAGCTGGCAAACCTGGTGAAGCGTTTATACAGTCCGAATTACTTTTGTGGAGAAAGTTTTAAATATGGAATATGCAGTTTTACGTGACTTATTCGTGGGGTAATTGAATGCGTCCACCTAAGCAGCTTAACTTCTTTGACATAAAGTGAAGTATTGATGTTTACTGTTGCAAAGAGGTCCCTAAGAATCCTTAAGAACGACTTAAAATGATTAGTTGAGTACCTGCTCTATGGCATTTGAAACATGGGGTATTTCTCAAACCAAGAACAAGATCGTACTTGTGATCTTGGCAAACGTGGTCTTGCTAATTTCCTCCTAAAATTGTGAGCATGCAGTAACCTATCTGTAAATTTTGGACTACGGGATGCGCTTGATGACGCGTTGAATGTGGCTGCTAATGTAATTTCAGAGATCGGAAGGAATGGGCTGATCTTGAGCCAGTACCGCAAGACGATGGCCCAAATCCCGTGGTGAAGATTGCATACTCAGAAAAGTGTAAGAGATTCTACACTAATTAAGGTCACATGCTACGACAGTAAACGTGTTTCTTTTAAACCGAAGTCAAGCTAATTCGCTTGGTCTTGCGAAGATTTTGACTACTGACAACGATCGGTCATCACTGTAGTATTACAGTAATATAAATAGCGATGGTGCTTTTATCCCAACGCAAACTACGTATTTTGGTTGCATGCCATTTAATGATGTGATTTGTAGTTTCATTTATTTAGCATAACTTTCCTTTCAGTTTCGGATGTGTATGACTACTTCCGAGCTCTGCTGAAGAATGACGAGAAAAGCGAAAGGGCGTTTGAACTGACCGCTGATGCAATAGATTTGAATGCTGCAAATTACACAGTATGGTAAGTTTATACTGTACACAGTAGAAGGGTGGTGATCTTATAGTGGATATAACGTCTCACATTCTGATGTTTAGGGTGCAGGCAGTGGAGCTTCCTAAGTAGTAGCGTAGTTGCTATTCAGTTGCTGTCGCATCACAAATTGCTTTTGAAGCAGCATTACGGGATGCCAGGTGTTTCAGTCAGCAGCTGTTCACTTTGAAGTCTACAGCTGATGTTGACATATGGCTTGTTTTCTACCAAAGCAGTACAGTTGATATCTAAATGTTCAGTTTTTTTTTTTTTTGATATATGGAAAAACGCACTCAAGTCAAAAGGAATTATTGCCCCGGCACGATGCTGGTTAACCAAACGTCTGGACTAGGAAAGGATTGGACTAAAATTCTATAGTACAGATGATTGCAGCCATTGTTGTAGCTGAACCCAGAGAAACTGAGATGATTTTACTATTGAGGCTCAAAGGTCACACTTGAGGTAGTATAATCAAACCCCACTCCATATATGTAGTACTATATATTACTGAAGGCAACACTGCAGTTTTCTCATTGTCTTTTAACATGTTTGGACTCCATTAAATAACTGTTAATTGCATCTAAGTATTAAGTGTCCCCCCTCTCCCTCCCCCCGGTCTCATGTCTTTCACTGTAACCCAGGGAATCAATGGGACAAAAGTGCAATATCTTGAGGACTCATTGCAATTATTGTAAATAGAACCACTCCAATACTATTTAATCTCCCACCTTATGTATACGTTTGCACGCAGAAACACTCAAAATGTATTAACCCGTATTGCTTGTGTTCTTGCTTTGTATGTGTGTGTAGCTTAATATGCAGAGCTATGCTAGAGTTGTGTTGAATCTGCTTCAGGGAACACGCCTAATTTCATGGTACATTCCTGCGATGACAATAAAAGTCATTCTGACTGTAATTCTAATGTTGACTGGGACAGCAAGATGAAGAACAAGTGGCTATGAGTTAGATATATGAGTTATATATATTTTTTTCTTCTACACAATTAAATGCATGACCAGTTATCTTTATATATGTATTTTTGCTTCCTTGGTCCTCTTAGGCATTACCGCAGAGTCTTACTGCAGGCTCTGAAAAAAGACCTGCACGAAGAGTTGAGGTACATCACCGCCATCATTGAAGACCAGCCCAAGAACTATCAAGTCTGGTAAACGCCGTCTCCTTATCTTCTTCAACAAAAGTGACTTATTTGTCTCTGACTATCTGTGACTTCTGGATCTTCGCAAAGGAATACAAGGCTCCCTTTCTTGAAGGTTATTTCAATGAACAAGACGTCTCTTCCACATTAACAATGTTTAAAGGTTGTTGAATTGGTAAATTCTGCGGTAATGAGCCAGAAAATCAATTGCATACGGCAGTTGAAACGAGACTCTCCGAGGGCGCATCGTGGAGCCTGGACTGACCTTGGCGATTGACCGTAGCTGGTAAACCGATTTGTATGTGATGTGAGCTGTAGTCTCTCCTTGCATCAGGCACCACAGACGCATGGTGGTCGAGTGGCTCCAAGAGCCCTCAAAGGAGCTGAACTTCATCGCGGACATCCTCAGCCAAGATGCTAAGAACTATCACGCTTGGCAGCACAGACAGTGGGTCATCCAGGTAAGGGTCTCGTCTCTGGACTAGGATGGTATCGCTATTGCTTTAGACGTGATAGGTAGCTACTTCACAGCTTACATCCATTACCTCTTTATTTAGGTGACACTTATCCAAAGTGTCATACGATGAAGAAAGTACGGTCATCCAGTGCCTTGGACAATTGGGGTTGAGTGCCTCTGTTTGAAGTTCAAACTGTAAACCAATGCAAATGGAATTATCCCTCAATAATGGTATACGTGATCTAATTCAGTGGACCTACACTTTGCCCCTGTAGTACTTTTTGTTTGTTTAAAAATAAATGATAAAGATATTTCAAAATTCAAAGGACCAATCAGATAGCTGCGCGGCGTCCGAGTAGCACAGTGGCCTTTCCCATGAGGTCGCTCTCGTATCTTGTGTAAATGAGCTTAGAAATTTAATCTTGTCTGGCTGTATGCTGAAGGTTGCGGTGGGGTTTAAATGTAAGGGGTTCAGGTAGCAGTTGATAAATACTTTAAGCCAGGCCCACCCTTTTGACAGCGAAGTTCGTTCAGATACGGCAGTCTCAGGTTGTCTGAACGCCGGCTTTTGTGAACCTGGTGTTTGTGAGAGTACAGCCTGAGGGGGGGGGGGTCTGATGTATTGTGGCTGGGCCTGGTTACTAGGGGGCTGGGCTCATCGCCACTGTGTTTGGCCAGGAATACAAGCTGTGGGACGGGGAGCTGGAATACGTGGAGCAGCTACTGGAAGAGGACGTGAGGAATAACTCGGCCTGGAACCAGAGACACTTTGTCATCTCCCACACCACAGGCTACTCGGACCCGGCGGTGCTGGCCCGAGAAGTGCAGTGAGTCCCAGCCCGGGGGCCCAGGTTCCCATTTAGCTCCCCGGTTGTCGCTGTAACCTGCAGTGGGATCTGTGCAGTTAGTCAGTTCGTTCGCATTTGGCATGAACGTTAAAACAAAAAATGAGAGATTTCAGTGAGAACATTCTGTCCCGAGATATAATTCACATGTTTGACTATGTTGAGATGAAGCCCAGCAGTGTGGTTATGTCCCAGAATTCCCGGTTTTTACTGCAGATGAAAGAGAAATGCAATCGCTGTACGGTTCTGACATCCTCTCTGACTCGTTTAAGGTTAATGAGCCTTTAATGGCTGTGGCCAGCCTCCTGCTTCATTCTCAGTGATTATACTATACATAAGCTGTATGAACATGGTCTGCTTTGCTTTTCACTGACTTTTTAGAGCCATTTACTTCCATAATATTTTATCTAAGATCATCAGGGGCCCTATTTGAAATGAAGCTTGTTTTATTTTCTTGTTTTTTTGAGGGAAAATAGTTCCAGAATTTGCGTGTCTTTGCAGGTACAGCCTAGAACAGATCAAAAAGGCTCCACACAATGAAAGTGCCTGGAGCTACTTAAAAGGGTACGTGAGAATGACTTTTTCATAACAATAATAAATGAATAATACCAAAGAAGTATTAGAAATCGTGCATAGATGTGATGTAGTTCCATATGTGAACAGTAGATGCCGCAATTGTCCTTATTGCCGTGTCTTTGCTTAAATTGCTGCTTGGAAGCCCCTCAAGCAAAATACGCTTCAGTAAGCCTAAATACTCTGCTCTAATAAGGCTTGTGATATTTCAGACTTTATTATACTGTATAAGTATGTATGATGAGACAGAAACACCTCTTTGATATTTTAATCTACAAAACATGCAATAACTCATTGCAAGTGAACACATTTGCTGTTGTAAACTGCAGGTACCTTTGATTCTCATCTTACTCAGTAAATTCAATATGAAAATGGAATAGCCTTGTTGAAAATGGAAGCGCTTTGGAGGCTTGTGATGCATTTAATGTGAATACACATTAAAAGTGTTTTTGGAGAGCATGGTATGTGGTGTGTGTTTGTGTGTGTGTCTGTCTGTCTGTCTATCTATCTATAATAATAGTTTCATGTACTATAAAAATATAAGTTAATGTTACCTAAGTGGAGTGATCATGATCATTGGCAGCTGCTGACAAACGTGTATGTCATGTAATGCATCTCTGTCAAAGCTTTAAAATGATGTGGCTCATGTGCTTAAAATAAATAAATGATAATACACTTCCAGACATGCAAGTAAGATCTGCTCTGCACTGAGCGAGTCTGCTAAGAGAGACGAAATTATCCCCCAGAGAAGACTGATAATCAGCATTTTAAACGCAGTGACTCATTTGTATTGCGGACGGAACTGAATTAAATTCAGCTTTAATGACCTCTTTTGTGAATTAGTGTCTTTATATACTTTGAAGATTGAACAGTTTGGTCAGGATGCATTTTTGAAGAGATGAACGCATGTGTTGGGAGACTTTCCCTTTCTGAAGAGCTTCTGTAAGGGATCAAAGTGAAATTCACGATTGAGACATTACTTGTCCATTAGTGTGGGTTTTTTGCAAGTGGTACAAGGTGGTCTAGACTCAGTGTAAAAATGTATGGTTTTCTGTATAATGTAACCTTTTATATCATTTCCTGTAGCGGGTATAATTCAGGGTTGTTTGGTGATGGGTTATATGTGATTCAGTGTTTTAGTTTGTGTGTATGGCAGAATACCATATGACTTCTGACCCAGGAAGGAGGCTGGCTTTTTTATGCAAATGTACTGGGGGGCGTGGCCTGCTGATTGGTTTCCCCACCCCCTGCTTAGGATTCTACAGGACCGGGGCCTGTCCACGTACAACGGGCTGCTGGAACAGCTGCTTGAGATGCAGAGTAGCTTCAGCTCTCCCTACATGACGGCCTTCCTGGTGGACATCTACGAGGACTTGCTGGAGAGTGCCAGCGGAAGCCAAGAGGACACCCTCAAGAAAGCCTTGGAGGTGGTGGGGGTGGGAGGGGGCTGATGAATCTCACGGGGGTGGGAGGGTTAATGGTTTTCCTGGAGGAGATACCTTAGAGGGGATAATATACAATTTCTCCAACCAGGAGTGCAGGTGCACTTAGGCAGATGTTAATACAGCATAACAAAAATGTTGCAGAAATGTTTTTGTCTTTCTGTTTATTTGGGATCATCCATCCATCCATCCATCCATCCATCCATCTTCTAACAGCTTATCATGGTCAGGATCATGACAGATCTGTGCCCAGTCAGCATAAAGCACAAGGCAGGGGTACACCCTGGATGGGATGTACTTAGATACATGTTCTATTAAAGAAAAGCCCTAACGAGCCCTTGTCCTCCATGGGGTAGAAGGTCGAGATGAGGGCCTGCTATCTTCTGTTCTACCGGAGGATTCTGTCGAGCTCTGCTGGGCTAATTTGAGCCTCGGTGAGAACAGCTGCATTAATCACCTGCCCGGCTGCTACGGAATGTCATCAATAACTGCCCAGCTGAGATTGCGTTGATGTTTTTCTGACCTCTGGTTTATCTGGAGGTGCCGCTTCTGCTTTGGGGGGTTAGGGCTGGGGGGGTGGTTCTTGCACGGTGACCCAGTTTAGGGTTCAGTTCCGTCACATACAGTTATTTGGAGACTCACTTAGCGAAGATTCTTTTAGAAGAGGAGAGTGGGATCCCCCAAATGGGGGTTTGTGGAGGAATGTGCATGTCGACCGATGTCCCCAGCCGCTGGTTTAAAAATCTTGTTGTACTGAAAAACAAAGTACGTATACCTAAAACAAAAAAGGTTGTCTACAGGGGAATAGCGTGTGCACGGCTCTGGGGCATCCTTGACAAAAACCGAATGCCAAGGATGCTGGGAAGAGATCCAGAATTCGAAGGAACGCTCACATTCACTTACCGAAACATGCATTCCTGCGTGTTTTGAATATCTCCCCTCCAGCGGTCGGCCGGCCGTCTCCTCGAACGGCAGAGCGAAACCTCGCGTGTGCCGCACGCGTCGGGCTTGATTGGCTTCCGTGGGAGGACGCCTCCGTCACGGCGCCGTCCTCGGGCCTGTCTGCGCTCGTCATCGTCAGCGTGGGTCAGACGGCGGGCCCCAGCCTCAGAAATGTATCACAGCGGCAGACAGGCTCTGTATAACTAAGGCTGAGGGGTTATTTCAGTTCGTCGTTAAAAAAAAAACAATCTTATTTTAAGAATATCATCTTTACGAAGCACACGTCTATGGAAAACTGACTTGTTTAAAGATTGCAGTCTGGATTTACTGTCTGTCACTTATCGACATGATTTTTCTCACTGAAGTCCACAGTCTGTTGAATTTAATGTGCTTTGCTTGTCCCTTTAAATCATGGTCTATACTATAAGACTCCTCAGGATTTGATTGGTCCCATTCTGTCCTATCTCTCTCTCACCTCTCTCTCTCTCTCTCTCTCTGTCTCTCACTCTCTCTTTCCTCCTCCTCCTCCTCTCTCTCCCTCTTTCCTCCTCCTCTCTCTCTGTTTCCTCCTCACTCACTCACACTCTCTCTCTCCCTCCCTCCTACCCATCCCCCAACAGCTCTGCGAGCTCCTGGCCACGAAGGAGGACACCATCCGCAGAGAGTACTGGCGCTACGTTGGCCGTTCCATGCAGAGCAAGTATGGCGCCAGAGAGGAGGCGGGAGAGCCGTCCCTAGCTGAACCCAAGGAGAAGGCCGAAGACGATTAAAGGGGGGTGGTACACCCCCGACCCCCCCAGGCCACCTGCCCCACTGTCACAGTGGGAAATGAACGAGGGCCTTCAGTGAGGCTAAAGATTTTAAACTGGCAGCAGTCTAGTTACCACATTGGTAATACTACTCATCCTGAAGAAGTGGGCGGGGGGGGGGCAAAATACTTAAGTCAAAGAAGCTTCTTATGTCTTTAGGCTGGGGTGTTGAACGCATCCATCATTTGACTTATCTGCTTATCAGAAGTAACAAAAACCGTAAGTCTGGAGTTGCGTGCGGTTCAGGGATGGGTCCACATGCTCGCGTGTGTGATCTGGCAACCCGGTGTCAGGTTGATTACAGCACTTAACCTTGAAGCGGAGAATGACTGTTGTGAGGGCATCTAAGAACGTCTTGTTCAAGGAAGGGGCACAGTGGCTCTAACCGTTAACTGAAATGAGCCAAAACATTGTATAATCGAACTGCATTGCTTAGACTGTGATGTCTTTTGTACGCTAGAAATAATTATAATTGTTCCAAACAAAAAAAAAGCTAATCTTGTATTTTTTCCCCCTTTTGTTGTTTTTGGGTTTTTATTCTTAAACAACATAGAGAACCATCTCAGATACATCTAATTAGGGTGGTGTCAATCCCATTATGATTTTCAAAGCATATTGGCTTGGATTGGGATTAAAAAGGGTAAATGTTGCCGTCCCACATGCCCATTGACCCACCGGGAAAATGCCCGCTATGCCATGGTTGTAATCAATCCAGCCAGTGCATCCCCTGGAACCCTTTAAATGGGTAGAGCCCTCAACCCCCCTCCGTACTCAACCCGAAGTAATGCTCTTGCATTATGCCAGATTGCCAGCTCAGCCCTGTGTTGGATACAAAGCCATAGAGGTATACAGGTTTTCGTAGCTGTATTGTATGACAAAAGTTATTATTTTAAAAGCAAAACCTTGTCTGATTTCAGATTATTTTTTTTAATGCCAAGCTGAAATCATATTGCATGCATATATGTGTGCACGCACGCACACACACACACGCACACACACACGTGGGGACTCCCAATCCGATTTCAAACCCCACTCTGAATCTAGGAAATTAACTTGTGAGGTTAAAAGCTTTATAGCAAGAAGCTTTTCAAATGCTAAAAGTCCCTGTTTTGAACACCATCAAAGGAGCACCTGATTCTTTTAACTTGAGAAGGTTTAAAGGATCACGATTGAATGTAAATAACCTGCTTATGCACTTATTGCAGAAGGATTATGTGAAGCATCTCAAAAGAGCTGATTACAGTAATTTCATTAGAAGCCTCAAGGGTTACAGCATTCAACAGTCTTTTTTTTTTTCCGATTCTCTGGACGCATTATGCTAACGGAAAACAGAGGATCAGGCTACAGAAAACTGTTGGGAAGATGCCAGTGTTGGAATAAGTGGTGAGTCAACACTTCACACTCCAAAACACAACCTCCGCTTCTCTGCATAGGGGTTAGTGGGTGGGGCTAGGCACTCCAGCGCTGTGCGTTCGCATCTGCTTCTGTACGTCTGCAGGGGTGGATTTATTGCGCTGTTTCTCTGCATCTCCTCAAATGACTGCAGCATTTCACCTGCTATTTAAGCAGGGTCGGATGTTTGAAATTGACCCCTCCCCCAGGTCCCAAAGCACCTCTATTTACAGTCCCATTTTCCTCTGTTTTTTTTTTTCTCTGTGTGGTTTAGAATTCACTCAGGATCTTATCCAGAATCCTCCCCCATTGGGGGCTTGTTTCAGAAAGCAGCATTTGTTAGCTGGATAACTTGTTGGGTTTAAGGTACCCCAGTTTAAATAGACTTTATCTTCGTCCACTTACATTTAGCCCAGGCTACCTTAAATCTGACAAGTTTTCCAGCAAAGCAGGAAATCCTGCTTTTTGAAACAGGTCTCTGATGCTAATGGTTTTAGCTGCTCTTGATTCAGCCAACAGATTATTAACCATCCTGTTGCATCTCAGCTCTATCTACACCATTAAACTAGCGAGGTCTTCCCAGTGTTTATTTCTGACCCTCCACATTACATCGACACAGTCCAAAACAAACACAGAAATCATTTTGCAAGTTGCAAAATGCTTCCCTGTTTTAGGATAGATGATGAACATGAAGATCGAACATGTTAATTTTCAGCTATTTCTCAGTGGTACTGAGTATGACTTTACGTGGTTTGTTCCCTTAGAGACATGTGGCCCCGGAGGAGGGTGATTCCCTGTTTCTCCAGTTTCCTAGGAGATGTTGAAATCTGCCATGATGTTTTGCTGGTGTGCATGGTTAGCTGGTCATGTGCTAAATAGGCCGGGTGTGGGAAGGGACGTCGACTGGTGCTGTGCTAATGGACTGCCTGCTTTTATGCACCGAATCGACCACAGCAGTCCCCTTCGGCACCGGTTGCGGAGCCTGAGAGCGCCAGCCCATCTGTCAGTCACAAAGGGTGGCAGGTCTACCCAATTACCGTTATACCATGGAGACCGGTAATGAAAACCAACATTAAGGTTCGTTGCATACAACACAGACATTTTGGAAAATCACCTCAGCCGGTTATTAAATTCTGCGCCCACGTGAAAATCCTATAAAAACCTAGTAATAGTATGTAACTTAAATATTTCCTTTTCTCATTTGATGAAGGACATAAAATCTGTGGATGTTCTGTAATGTGCTACTCAGAGTCAGTCTACAGATTTTAGATTAGGGCTTTACGGTCTTCCTGTCAAGATCAATATTAAACTAGATGGGAAAACATCATGCTGAATGGCCTGGAGATTATTGTAGACATTCCATCTTTTCGTTTTAAGGGTTTTATTACCATAATTTCGGCCAGGTAGGCTTGAGTTACGTACTTTCACTTTTTCGCATCAAAGGGGTTTTTTTTTTTTTTTTGCAGTTAATATTTTCCTGCAAATGGAAAGAGATGCAGGTGCTGTGGAGCCCATTTAGGATGCATCACCCAGGCTAATTAAGAGCTTCCTCCCATAGCGACTACTGCTAAGAGACAAGTGACCACGTCATTCATGGAGGAACACGGAAAGAGTGGGACCTGGCTCTCGGGTGCCTGCGCAGAGTGAAATTACCACCAGGCTGCTTGACAATATCTATAGAGATCATGTTGGAGTCGGCGGTATTTTATTTGACTGGCATCCTGTCCGAGGTATATGCGTGTTCTGTGCCCTGTGGTGCTTGGAACATAGTAACATGTTAGCACGTTAGACATGACAATAGAATAGAATCGAATCCATCCATCCATCCATTTTGTATACTTGCTGGTACTATGCAATAATGTAACATTTCTTTTCTTTATAATACAACAATTACTATGCTGAGTAAAGTGGGTCATATGTAGACACACACACACACACACACACACATTATATATAAACAGTAACTCATTACTCGAGGGGCCAGAAATAATATTGTAGTAAACCCTAAAAGTTTTAATTAACCAGAATATAAGTGCTAGTTACATACTGATCCCTATAACCCTATAACTATTACTATAACTATTAATGTATTTCATGCAGGTGCTACATTCGTTCATGATTAGTAATTGAGAAGCAACTCAGCTCTTAAGTTTTAGCCTCTATAAGTAAAGACTTACACATGTACTCTATTGGCCAGTTTCCCAGTCAAGGATTAAGCCTAAGCCTAGACTAGCTTTGAGTCACAATGGTGAATCTCCATTGAAACGGCAATTTAGTCCAAGACTAGTCTTAATCCTAGTTTGGGAAACTGGCCCTAAATGTATGTTTGTATATCAGGAGTCTAGCAGGGCGCAGGGCTGAAATGAAATGGCTGAGGAGCCCTTATGTGCAGTATGGAGGGGTGTAGCTTCTTAAGGGTGCGCAGGTAGACTGACTCCGTTGGTATCTAACAGCTGAATTTCCAGGAATATTATCTTACTGCTACTACAAGGCTCTAGGTGGGACTCAAAGTAACAAGGCAGACTAGATGTCTGTTTCCTGGGGCTGTACTCAGCACCGTGTACAGCTCAGTATAGCGGACCTTCGTGTCAAAGGGCGGCAGACACAGCGACGGGCTGATCTTAGCGTCTGGATTCGGCCCAGCTCTCCATTAGAAGGCATGTGATTCTGGCGGACCGGGCCCAGACGCCACTCCGAGCTGTCTCATACTCAGCATGTCCGGGAAATCCGTCCAGCGTCTGCCTCGCTCGGGGTGCCTCTCTCCGTACGCGGTATCGAGTTTCCACGGCCTGGAGTGGATGGCTGGCCCGTGGCAGAAATTCAATACAGATTGGGGGATGGCGTGGGGGCTTCATCATCTGCCCTCCAATCTTGAAATGCGTACAGATCAAAAGATGTGGTTTGCAGATTTCTACACCCACAAATGGGAGATGAGTGCAGATTTAAAGGCTTGGCTTGAAGTATCAACATCCCGACGGGAGCCGGAGCTGATGCACTGGAATCGGCACTGGAAAGGGCCAGACTCACGCAGCCACTCACTGCATGTATTTTTAATGAAACAAAACTGTGAACTCATACCCACCCCCACCCCCACCCTTAGTAAGGCAATAAAGCAGGCAGCTCCAGGTGTGTCACTGGGAATACTAGCAAGTGGAATTCTTAAAATAAGCCCAGGGGCAGAGTCTTGCAGAGAGATGATGCATAGCTATACGTAGTGTGGTATTCGTCAGTCGTCCACGCTGATTGGTTAGGGCACCCCCTGAGGAGTAACAGGCCAGCAGGGCTTCGGCTCGTTCATGAATCCCCAAAACAAGAGAAGACTTTAAACTACAAAATGTTTCGCAAAGCATATTCAGCCAGCGACTACTCACCTCAAACAAAACCTTTCTGGTTCTATAATTATACCATTATTTAGCACTAACTGGAAGCTATGCTGTAGATCAATTCTTCTAAATGAAAAGAGTGGGGGAAAAAAGGGGGGAAAAAAAAAAACAGTCTTAACGTCTCATCAATCCTGTGCACCTGAGCGTGGTCTCATTAACTCAAGCGTTCTCAGGTGCATAAATCTGTAACCAGCTAATTGGATTGTTCCTGGCCATGGCCGAGTACTGGAACGATCCGGGATCTTCTACTCTGTGACATTAAAATGGTTCTCTTCAAGCCAGAGAAATTCAAAGGCACGTTATTGATTAAAAAAGGCTTTCCTGTCGGGCAGTTTGTTTCCTTTCCATGTCAAAAAAGTATGTTTTTTACTTTGACTCAAAAATCACCACATATAAGCGGAGCTGTCAGGTGTCAGATCCAGCCACGAACTGCACTGCCGAGCAGGGAGGGGAAGTTCCAGTGACGAACGTAACAGAACCGCAAGCCCCCTCCGCACGCTTCCATTCAGACGCTGCAGTCTGCTCATAATTAACCAGAGGCTTGTTTAAGGCTTTGTACTGCAAACAACGTAAAATCCACACAGAAGGTATGGGTCAGCTGGCTGATTAACTGGATCTTGTCGATATAAGAGGAATACTGGCAGTGGCAGATGTAGGTACCAATGCTCTGGGTATTATAGGTCCTAATTTTGAAGTTTTGG